CATGCTACACTTTCTCCTTGCCTCTTTGCTGTTGTTTAATTTGTTTTTCTGACTCGGCCATTGTCGCTGTCTTCTCCTTCAACTCTCATTACCCTGTTTTAAGTGACTCATCTGTTCTTCCCTCCTGCTTTCACCACCTCTGGTAAAATCAGATTCCACAGTTGTGACTGGCACTTCCTTGTATGGATGAATATTGTGACAAACGGCCGTACAATTTGCCAATGTATGACCAACACTATGACTAATAGCCGTAACACCACTTACCCATAGCTTCCTGACACATCATGGATCACCCATAGATGTTAGTGTAGGTAATTATAACAAGTGCACTGACTGTATAATCAGTTGTAAGAGCAAATAGTTAGTTGCCATCCTCACTGACTGTTGTAGTTGTGTTATTTCTTGCTGAGAGTGAAGGAAATATAACACTGAGGGACATTTTAATATTTAACAAAAGTAAGATGAAGGAAATTCTTTCATGTTGAAAAAAGTAACCCCATGGACAGATTTGTGCTTCAACTTCTGCCTACCCTTGGATTGTGTCTTCATTACAAAAAGGGAAACAGTGGCCCTGCAGGGAATAGCACTTCACTCACACCATTCCAGAGTCTCACAGAAACAAGCCTGTTTTCAGGAAAGCATCAAATGACCTTGTTTCTGTGGCTGGCACAGTCTCACCCTTCAAAGTCTTGTGAAGAGTGAAGATTAATTTGTGCTTCCTTCTCTCCCAGATTCAAGGTAGTGATGTGTGTATGACCTCACCAGCTTCCTCACATACTGACGGTAATTCAAAACAAAGAGCTCACTGCTTTGTGTCTCCCACCGGCTATTAGTCATGTCTAACTAAGGCAGAGTGTTACACTATCTGGCTTTGATTGGAGTCTTCACACGGTGAGTTCTGTGTATGGACAAGAACAACTTCACAGTAAAGAAGCACAACTTAAACATTTTAGCGTATTAACTACAAATGGTATCCTATATATCACGGCTGACACAATACATTGTAGATATAGTTAGTATCCTTTGTGTAACAGTTGGTTTAAACGTGGTGATAGTTATTGTAGAACTTGCTTATACTGTAATAGGTAATGCGTCATAGTAAACATGGGTTAACAGTAGCCGATTGCAGATGAGAGCAGGGTATGTTTTAACAAGACTATACAGCCATTCTAGAGGCTCTGTCAGCCTGTACAGTACTTAAAGGTGGAGTAGGCCTAAGTGATTCTGGAGAAACAACATGACAAATACTAATGTAATAGAGCTAGCAATGACACAGCAATGTCTCTTAACGTAAGCTAAGTTGTGGGTTAGCAAACTGTTGCTACATTTGCTGCTGCGAAGCTGCAGAAAAGACGTGGTCCCAGAGCCAGCACAACAGCTCCAGACAGCAATACTTACAACTCTCTTGCTACTACAGCTAACATCACAACAACAGCATGTCTTGGCAAACTAGAAAGTAAGCTGAATGTCTGTGGGCAAGTCATTTAACATTACCTGACATACAAATCATGACTGGAACAGCTGAAATAGTATTGTGTGGTTGAGTGCAGTCCAATTTGTTTCCCATTTACAGAGCCATGGCTGTGTACAAACACCAGATTTTTTTCAGCGGATACTCAGAAAGGATAGCTAGAGGTCTGCGAGGAGGTATTTGCCGAATTTCACAAAAACAGGTATTGGATTAGAATTGCTTGCCCCACCTTTAAGCCAGTGGTTCTCAAACTGTTTCTGTCATGCCCCACTTCAGAAGCCAAAATCTTTTTTATTTCCCTGGAGGAAAGGTCAGGGGATCAACAAAATCATTAGGTTATATTTTCTGGGAATATGTTTGTACAAAATTGTGTGCCTACCCTTCTAGTAGATGTTGTGATATTTCACTAGATATGTGAAAATCTTTACCTTCTACCTTAGTAAGTGGATCACCAAAGTCGGTATATTTCATCCTCTGGGTACAATGAATGTCTGCACAAAATTTCATGGCAGTCCATCTAATAGTTGTTTAGATATCTCAGTCTGGGTAAGGGGTGACCTGACCTACTGACACTGCCAACCCTTCCAAAAAGCTCCCTTGCTGCTGAGAATCATGACATTTGTTGTTCTAAAATCAAAATGGAATAATAACCAATCATTGTGAAAAGCATATTTGCAAGTTTCTGGCTTTAGAAATATTTCCGCTCAGCAGCTCTGTTGAGTCTCAAATGTTCATTATGTGACTGTACCAAAAAATGTGGACTAAATATTGACTGTGATTGATTACCTCTGTTAGGTTTCAAGTCTCTGGAAGTTTATACTGTACTACTGACACAGACTGAAACTAATGGCGTCTGGAGTGTAGGAAAAGTTATGATATACTTTGGAAAATCCTCAGCAGTGATGTAAAGCATACACAATTTGCAGTTAATGGGCTGAAACATGCAAAACTGAATAATTCTTTAGGTCGTCACTGACATTTAGACTGGCTTTATAATACTGGAAAAAAGAAAGAATAATGTACGTGAACATGTGGTTTTCAAAACAAGGGTCTCTCTAGAAAAGACTCTAACCAGAGCCTAGGCAGTCTTGCCAGTTTTCACTGAAGCAATCTAATTATAGAAACTCTGGCAAACAATCTTTAATGATGCAATGGTTGCTAAATAAAAAAAGTTCTCAACTCTGTCTCTCTCTTGTCAGTTGTGTTTTGTTGTGCGGAACAGAAACAGCAGCTGTTCATAAGTATTCATTAGTGCTGCTCATGGATTAGCCGAGACAAAATGTGAGAGTGTAGATTGGGCTCCACACTGTGCTGCCTCCTCCAGAACACAGCGGGCCCTTCTCCCTCTCTCTGAGCACTAACCACAGCTGTTCAACACCACTTGACTTTTCCAGCAACAATGTTCTCGGATGGCTGTGGCCACTTTTGTGCCTGTTCACCAAAACATTTGTCTGACCGGTTTTGTTCTCTTGGCTGTAATCTCTTTGTTCCTCTGTGCTGTGTTTGATAAAAGTTTGTTCTCCTGTTTCCCCCGCATTGACAAAACAGTGATGAGACACCATCGAGAAGAATGTTTGTTGACACCGGTTGTTACGGTGATTGCCTCGGATTTGTGGCCCTAGTCATCGGATTTTCAGCTCTGATTTTGCAAAACGCAGCTTTGTGCAGTAAGCCCCATAGCTCAGCATTTTGTCATCTGGCGTACACATACTTACTCATTTGGACAACTTTGGTGTTTTTCTGAAGAGAAAACTTCTCTTTCTTTCTCTCCATTTTTTTCCCCACTTGGAACACATGCACCATGTATTGGTTGCGTGGTGTCTCCCATTCTGGACAGCTGCACTGGCTGGCTATCCCTGAGATCTCCTCTATGCCCACATACGCGCCCCACGCCCCCATGCATACACACACACCGCAAGGCCATAAGTCACCCTCTCTACATTACCTCCCCCCTCCTAAATACACACATGTACCCATGTCATTGCTGCACTTGTTCCATCGTCTCCGCCCTGAGCTAACTCTACTCTACTATTCACTTTGTTTCCATACATTCCCCCTCCCTCGACGACCCCCCTTCTCTCCAATTTTCTGTCACTACAGCTGTGTGTCAGCTGTTGGCCTGTCCCGGTCTAGTCAGAGATGAAGCCGAAACACAGAGGGTCTACAGGGAAGACAGCCTGGCCTCTCTGTCTCTCCCAGCTGTCACTCCCACTTCAGACTTCCACTTATCGTGAGGTTTCTTTCCTCCCTCTTGCTTCACCACTGGAAGTCTTCCTCAGACATGTTCAAAAGTAAAATATCCACAAGGGATAGAGCAATGAAATGTGCTTATGTTTTTTAGTATGATTCACATATTCGTTTGGTAAATTCTTATACTGGTGTAGCACAAACTTTTTTTTAGGAAGAAAACATTAAGTCCTATGTCATTTTGAAAATACTGCAGATCTACAGTCCAGACTGATTTAGAGAGATGTGACTTTCTTCATTCATTCATTTTGGAAGCTGCAGTTTATTGTTTCGCTGAACTGTATTGCTTTATATTGAGTTGAGGTGTTCCTAATATTTTGTCCTATTTTTCACCTCTCTGTATATCACATTCACAATTCAACATCACCACAGACTACGCCCTCCAAAACGATAATTTAGTTCAAACAACAACTGAACATTAGGACCTTCATGAAGGTAGGATTTACTGCAAAGTTTGTTTTAGGTAGTTGTGCCTTTAAAAAACTGGCAACTGATGCCTGTGTTTCGGTAAGTTTTAAGCTTTCAAGGATCTTTAAAGTCACTCATCAACAAATGCAAGCCATTTAGCAAGTAATTTACGTTGTACTACTAGCGATGACCACATCTATGTCCCCATTACTCAAAATACATCTGTCCTTCTGTTCTCTCGCACTCATTGGCTTTCATTTCTTCAATCTTCCAGCTTCATCTGTTTGTTATTTATTCCAAACAAGCATCTCCAACCGTGTGCTCCTAATAGGCTCTGTCCTATTAAGGGAAAGTAGGTTTGAAATCAGTAATTTGGAGAAAATATTGGCAGTTGAAATACAGACGAAACAGAATTCTCTGGGAGTAAATGGGGCCGGCTAATTTTACCATCCTCAATTATCAAGCTGTTTGTACCCTTTCTAAAGGCAGCAAAGTATTATTGTATCATGACATTCTGCTGCCAGAGAGAAAAACAAATTAGTGTGTGAAAGTGGCCTTTGTTGTATGGCTTTGTGGTTGCTCCTCTGGGGCCCATTGCTGAGCCGTGCATGCAAAACGTTGAGAAACAAATGACTGTGAGACATGCTATGTGCTTTGGACTAAGAGTACTTGATTGAGAGAGTTGAGTTATTGATGGAGGAGGTGAGCCTGTGAGCTCAGCAGCCCCAGGCTAGAGCTGTATGGGTGCATGTGTAATGTATATGTGGGCGTGAAAATAAAATCATTTGCGGTTTGGTGGTTGGTGCAGTTTCAACAAGCACAGACAAGAATCCTGAAACTGATGTACAACTAAATATATATTTTTCTGTGACAGGTATGCCTGTGGTCATCAGTGTGTCTCCGGACAGGTAACCAGGTGTGTTGCTGCTGTCATGGCCTTGCCAACCCTGCGGCTGTTTCCTGTCACTGTGGTCACAGTCCTGGTGGTGCTCGTGTCGTCGTCAGAGGACCATGACTGGCACTTTAACCCAGGTAGGATGTCAAATACACACATGCAACAAAATAAAACATCGAAATTCGTGATGGATGAATTGTTCCTCCAATAGTTTTTACTCTTGTTTTACCCAAAAACTGCCACATTTTGAAACAGCTTGACAGTTGGCACATTTTGAGATTGTTTTTTTATTCCCAAAAACTCAGACATGATTGCATTTTCAAGCCACTTATCTTATACTTCCTCTCTTGTCCTCTCCTCCATGGGCGCAGCAATCGTCTCTCCTGCTGCCCTGACATTCTCCTGACATTCTCCAATGAGTAAGGCTCATTCTCCGTCCGCTATCAACAGGCTATCCTGTGTCCTCTCCCTGTCTGCCAGCCAGTCGTGTGTAATAGGAGAATGAGATAGCTGCCCCCACTCGGCTCATCAAGACCGCTAATGCACAGGCAGCTCATGAAAGTGTCAGTCAAAATGTCGGGGAAGGGAGCACATGAGGGGCTAGTCAATAAGCGACTACCAGGTATAATCAGAGGAGGCTGTTGGCAGTGCGATCAACCTGGCTGCAGCAGCTACCCTGAATGAAATTATGGCTGTGAGTGCTGATTATTCTTTTAATTATATGGTGATTATCATTCTGCGAGAGAAAAGGCAGCAAACTTGGCGATCCCCTGCCATTTTATCTAGCTTCACCAGCAGATATAATTTTTAGTTTTTTAGTGAACTGGCTCAACAACTACTGGATAGATTGCCTTGAAATGTTGTTGACATCCATGTCCCCTTCAGGATGAATTGTAATACATTTGTTGACCCATTAACGTTTTGTCTAGCTCCACCATCAGGTCAACAATTCAGTTTGTCTGTGGTATTAAACAATACAAATCCTGTCTGCATCAAATGAATCTAGGATTTGTAGCAAGATTGATAGGGATAGCTTGGAAGTGTGTGAGCTGAAAGGTTTAGTGCGTGGGCTTAAGTTATATGAAAAATGACAAAAAGAGAAGGTGAAAGCAGAGGACACAGAGAGATGGAGGGAGACAAAGAGAGGTGAGAAGATTTCAGATGGCGGGGTGTTGACTGGCGATGTGTGACGATGATGATGTAATGAAATGGGCACCTGTCTGCAGGGCGTGGATGAACTGTGTGTGCCTGCTGCACCCGTTGGGGTTTTGGGGGTTTGTCATCCAGCCCAACATTCCCGTCTGCTGACTCGATGAGAGAAACTGAGTTAGATGCCCACCCCACCCCCTCCTTTTTCTGTAACCCTCAGTCTCCCCTCCATATCACTGTCATTACCCCATTACACTTTATCACTACCCAAACCCTCCCTCAACCTCTCACCCCCCTCTGCCATCTTCCCCTCATGACTAACTTCAGAGAGGATAGCTAGGTCGTTGGGTAATCCCTGCCTGGGTCCACACTATCTGGATGATTTGATAATGCTGCCACTGGAGCAGAGTCAGCGCCGATATCTGAGACCTGTCTGTGTTCTTTCACTAGCCCTTCGTCTCTTTCTCTCTTTTGTTCTCTTCCTGCAAATCCCCAAGCAGTGGTAACCAGAACAGGGGCTATGCTGGTTTGCTGGAGCCCTGAGGAGGTGACTTTGTGTGGGAGGAAGAGCTATCCGGACAGACAAAAGACAAAAAGAAGAAGGAAAAGAAATAGGTGTAATCTCAGAGAAGGCAGGTCACAGCGTCTCACAGGGGGCCGCTGATTACACTATGTCTCCATTTAAAGATGCAGATGAATAGTAATGATTGTCTTTGATGTAGTCACTTTTGACAGGACCAAGGGGACTTGCAGGAATAAGTGTTGCAAAACACTTCCATTACATTTTACACAAACCCATTAGTACAGACGCCACCCCAAGAGATTCTGTAACAAATAAGAGAGGACAGGAACAATTTACTGTGGAGTATTTTTTTTCTCCCTCCTCTCAGTGTCTCTGTGAGTTATGAAGCATGAAGTCCGGAAGTTTTCCCAGAGATGACATAACAACATTATGCTCCATGACCAATGATGGCTGCTGACACTCTAATGGAAATATTAAGTTTCCCCTGGACATGTGCTCTGTAAGGATGAGAATATTGGTCATGTCTCTCTTTCTCTCTCTCTCATCTCTGTCTTTCCTTCAATCTTTCCCTCACAGCTCAGTGTCGTTACGCCCTGGGGATGGAGGATGGAACCATCCCAGACTCTGACATTACTGCCTCCAGCGCCTGGTCAGACTCCACTGAGGCCAAACATGGAAGGTAGGAAATGTCTGAGTGTGTGCGCAGGGTATAACGTTACTTACAACGTTACTCCCACCACAGTAATCAGATGGCTTTTCCTGTACTTACACTTTGTGTGGTTACAGTCTAAAAACTTTAATGCTGCTTAATGAGGAACTTAACACCATGCTGAAATACAGTTTTCACTGCCTCTGATTGCACCCAGCATTACTGATGGGTGTGGTAAGAAGTCTGCTGTGTTGCACCTGTAACCCCACCAAACAGTCATTGTGTACTGACAGACCCTGCAGTACATTTCAACATCACTGCAGCAAAGAGAAGGTCAACCACTAAAGTTCAGCAAAAACTGAATATTTTTAGCTGGTGATAACTTGCTTGTTTTATTTTGTTATAATTGATATTTGGACATTGGCAGTATAGCTTACATTTTTGCTGACCATTTTTGTTTTGCATAGATTTCAGAAAAATTTTTTCCTACCAATGCAGTCAAGAAAATTTGTAATTAAAGTGCATTACTATGCAATGACAATGTGACATTAACATAAACTAATTCTGTTCACTGTGATTACCTAACAGTGATTGAAGTAAGTTTCAAGTGTGTGCTAATGATGTTCATACTACTGTATATAGAAATGAAAGGAAACCTATGGACTCAATTAGCTGACGCTTTTATCCAAAGCGACTTACAATGGCTAGATATGTCAGAGGCTGCAGGCCTCTGATCTAAAATATAGCATCATGATTTGTAAAATGATTAGCTGTGATGTATTAAGTGTGTGTTAATCACACGGATATAGCCCTTTAATTATGGCTTGAACTATTTTAAATACATTTTGATGAAGCTTCTCATAAAGTAAATAGTAAATATTAAGTGTTATGAAATAGTAATTTAGTCTGATCATCAGACTACTATCTATTATATTATCAGCTATTATCAGTGTTGACATTAAAACTGTAAGGGTCATGATGTCATATTGACCATTTCATGTGACTAGTAACTGAGTAACTTTTAGTCAGACTTAAGAGTTTACTTAGTGTTTTTTCAACAGAACTACTATTCAACTTTGACTTACTGTACTTCAATGCAAGTGATCTAATTCTACTTGAGTAAAATTTAAGTAAAGTAACAGAACTTCTAGTCCAGGAACACTTGCACATGTCACTGTGATTGTCTGCATGCCTTTTTTTCAGGATGTTGGCACCACGCTGAAGTAATTTGTCGGCGGTCTATTAGATTATGCTAGAAGATGATAGTGTTTGTCTTTGTAAAACCCACTTGGTAATTATATTACCACCTTGTCTGTCTGGCAGCAAGGTCAGATTTATGAGAGACAAGCTAGGCCTGCAACATGCTACAGCCATGTGTAAGAGCATTCGTCTTCATTGGTCTGTTGGTCTTTGGGCCTTGGCTGCCTGTCTAACCATGTGGAAATGATTATTATCCCTTGCTCCTTTTAAGAGACATCTGGGAGAGAAAGAGAGAAAACCGAGAGAGAGAGAGCAGCGGACATTAAAAAAACAAGAAAATATGTGAAAGGTGGATCACTGCGATGGTGTGCTGAAAGCCGGAGAGAAATTAATTTGAAAGCAGGGTTGAGGGAAGGTGTTGGGTGAGGTGGGGGGGGAATGAGGGATGCAGAGTTGGTAGGTATTTTTTTTTATGGTTCTTATTACTCTGGGGCAGTGAAATATCAGCATCACATTGGTCTGAGCGAGTGGGGAAAGAATGGAGGGAGTAAGTATTGTAATTGAGAACAAGGGAAGAGGAATGAATTTTTGGCTGGTATTACGATAGGAAGCAAAAGAGAGGAATAGGAGAAAAAAAGAGGCACTTGGCAGAACAGCATGCTATGATGTTAATCCTGCTGGCTGGTGCACGGTGCTGCTCAGCCACATATCTCTTTTCTCCCTCCTCATCCTCTTCTCTCACTGCCCTCCTTCATCACAGGGACACTTTGTGGAGCGCTAATGTGTTGATATCATCTCGCCGTTTCCGGCTGCATGATCTCACCCACCGAGGGAAGAGCGGGATTGATTAAAAATCTAGCGCCACTGTCAATGCGACCGAGTTGATACAGTGATTTGTTTTGGTGGTCTGAGCAGCAGCTTTCATTTTGAGAGAAGCCCCTAGTGGCCAGAGCGCGGTTGTGGCCTGGCGTCTGTTCCAAAGCTCCTTGTACAATTTGATTCAACGTCACAAGACATACAGCCAAGTTTGTGGTCTTTATTTGGCCAATATTTGGTTTTCTTCTTAAGCTGTATTGAGGAAGGTCACACTGAGTGAAAATTTTCAGTCGTGCATGTGTGTGGTCATGGCAGGCCTGAGGAGCTGTGAGTAAAGATTGGTCCTGACGGTTTACGGCAGATCTTGTTGTGCGGTTTGAACAAAGTGGAAGAGCTAGTAATTTTCGCTCTGCTCCTTTCATCGTGTTTTCTCTCTTTGTCTTTTTTCCATCTGTCTGCAGTCTGTCTCTGTTGCCTATGGTGTGCCATTGGCCATAGCCAAGTCTGTGTCTCTCTGAGTTACTCTTTCAGACAACATACCCTATATTTATGTGTTTGGCTGCCGTGGAATCCAATATGTATGGTGGTAGAGAAGGGTTGGACTGTTTGTATTGAATTCTCAGTTGCACCTCTGCGTGCTGGCAGCACTGTGGGTTTTGATGTAGTCAGTCTTGTTGTGAGTGTGTTTGTATCTCTGCATGTCAATGTTTGGGTGTGGGCCTGGGATTTAGTGAACATTTCAGTTACAAAAAACATTTTAGGTATTTTTTTCTCATTTTGTTATCTAATCTTAGTAAGTCTGTGTTTCTGTCAGGTTGAGTACTGGAGAGGGGGATGGAGCGTGGTGTCCTGCAGGAGCTGTTTTCCCCAGTGGATCAGAATTCCTTCAGGTCAGATATGTTTACTTTATACTGCTCTAATTTGCACAGCTACATTCAGAATTAGTACTCAGTATAATTGCATACTTTTGAAAGAAATTTTATTTTATTTTTTTGAAAGAATAACATTTAATTGTTGTCAGTTGTTATTGTTTGATTATGAAGTTGATATAAAATGTTGTTAAGACTATTGTACTAGTAATACATATTTTCAAAGAGGCTTTAATAACTTCTTAACGTCTTAATCCACTCAAGGCCTTGCTAAAGTACAGTGTATTTTGGAAAATACACGTATTTTCTTTCTTGCTGAGAGTTAAATGACATTGATACCATTATCATGTCTATCCATTCAATTTGAAGTTACAGCCAAAAGGCATATAGCTTAGCATAAAGACTGGAAACAAGGGGAAACAGCTAGCCTGACTATGTCCAAAGGTGACAAAATCCGCCTACCAGCACCTCTAATGCTCACTAGTTAACAAATTAAACATTTGTTTAAGTAGTACAAAAAGTATAAAAAAGACATTTTTAGGTGGGTATACAGTATGTTGTTACCTTTAGACAGAGCCAGTCTAGCTGTTTCCCTGCATCTAGTCTTTGTGCTAAGCTAATCTAATGGCCACTGGCTATAGTTTCATAACACAGGTATGAGAGTGGTGTGGATCTTCTTATCCAACTCTCTGCAAGGAAGTTAATTTAATAAGATGTCAGCCTACACCTTTCTACATTTAGAAATTTAACACATTTAGCTGTTTATGTATTTTCTCAGTCTTATTACTATCTCTCTATCTCAATCTATTTATGCATATTTTAGTGAGTGACATGTGTTTTAATAATGTATTTCCTGTCTCCTGTAGGTAGACCTGCACAAACTCCACTTTCTGGCTCTGGTTGGTACTCAGGGTCGTCATGCTGACGGGCACGGCCAAGAGTTTGCCCGCAGTTATCGGCTCCGCTATTCCCGAGACGGAGTGAAATGGATCACCTGGAAGGACCGCTGGGGCCAGGAAGTAAGCATCTCAAGTCTTTTTGTTTGGTTAATTACAACAGAGCTGGAGCACACTGCCTCTTTCATGTGTACACAAATTAAGGAAACTGACAATATTTCTTTCAAATGAGCTTGGAGGGAATCGACACAAGGAGCATACAGTTGAGGTTGACTCTCCATTATTAATAGGAAACTGCTCAATATTCTGTGGCTTTAATATGAATGCCATGTTAAACATAGAGGGCTGTATTATTGACCTGCATTAGATTGATTTATTATTTATTGGAAAGTGGAGCAGTTTGGTATTGCGCCAGCTGAACTTTGTCCAGTAACAATTCAGTTCAGGCCATGCAATGAATGGCTGACCTTGTACAGGCACCCCTTACGTTCGGTAAATGTCATATATTGATAAGTTCTGCACTGTGCTTTGTACCAGTGCTACATGGTAGCATTGGAATTTAGACCTGCAACAGCCAAGGTTTTAGGCAAGGAATCGTTCCCCTTTTAGTTCTTATTTTAGAACATTGCCCTGCAATATATATTCAGAAATTGCAAGCCAATGTAAATCTTTTGGTGAAGGCTGCCCCTACAAAAAATGCCTGAGGCTCACACTCTAATATCAGTCCTTCTTTACACCTTTGTGTTCATTCGAGCTCTTCTTAGATTAATAGAAGACACACACTGAATAATAAATGTGAACCTTCGAGAATCTAATGTGTGATCTGAATATTTGTACTTTTCTTCCCAGGTAGTGTCAGGGAATGAGAACACCTATGATGTTGTGCTAAAAGACCTAGGCCCTCCAATTGTGGCCCGCATGGTGCGCTTCTACCCCCTGGCTGACCGGGTTATGAGTGTTTGCCTTCGGGTGGAGCTCTATGGTTGTGTATGGAACGGTAAGTGTCTGTGTGGAGGTGAGAGTGAATGTCCCTGCTTTTGTGGTTACATAGATATTCATGTGGTCTGTATATTCTGTGGCATACCCTCCAGACTGTAATTATTCAAATCAAATCACATTTCATATGGTGACTGACTTCACTATCCTCCTAGATTTACTCCTGTGTCAGATGGGAAAGGGGAGATTGGTTCGATGGAAATGATTAGGAGTACGTGTTTTTGCCATAGATCTAATGCATTGATTCAAGGCATTGCTTCATATTTACAGCCTTGCTGGAGTTTGCCCAGATAAAAGAAGCCGCACAGTGATAAATGGTGTTGGTCTCCACGTTTCCCAAAGCACTCACTGACTAACTGAGTATTTATGACTGGCTCACCTCCTCCCCTGCCCCCATCCACCTCCCTTAGACAGCATCAGGCTGCCTGTAAATCAAAGCTGTCACCGAGGCTAAAAGCCCCAGTCTTCGGTCTGTGTCTTCAGGGAGACCGTCTTTCCAAAATATGCTCAAATGTGGATTCTGAGGCAGTGCAGCTCGACAGTTTGTCCACAAACCAGAGATTATACAGAATCCTCAGAATGTCAAGTCTCATCTCATCCCGTATCAGGTAGTATGGCAGTAGCAGTGTTTTCCTGTGTTTATTGTTTTACATTCAGTTTGGACCCGCTTGACCCTCATGCCCAGATACATGAAACACACATCTAAATGCATAATCACATGCACAGACTGAGCATACTGCACACATAGTGTAAATCCTATGTGAAGCATTGTTTATTATGGGTAGCAGAGCGCCGGGCTGTAGTCCACGTTGCTGACGTCACCTCTGTTCTCAAGGAGCGGGCTGATTAGCTGTATGTTGGAGCGGAGAGGCTTGAGTTTCACCGGTTAATGGTGGCTGGGGCTGAGCAGGCCTAAGTAGTGGACCTCTGCGTTTGTTTTACTACTTAAAAAACATCTGTAGCTGTTTCCCCATGGCAATGATTACTATTGAATGTTGGCTCAGTAAACCTGTAGCTGCTCACAATGATAGGGAAAAGCTTTACAAATTAAAAAAAGTTTCATATGCAGCTTGTGCATGCCTATGTGTTAAATGGAAATCTAAAAAGAGCATGTTTTGTGTCAACAATTACATGACTAAAGAGTATTTTTTTTCCTGTCTCTTAGATGGGTTGAAGGCTTACACAGCTCCAGTAGGTCACGTCATGCACCTGTCTGGCATGCCTGTCTATCTAAACGACTCCACCTATGATGGGAGCACTGAACAAGGGTAAGATATCCATCTGCTCTTGGATTTATTTATTTAATTATTTATTTTCATTTTTACGTAAGAGTAGGCATCTCATCTCCATACATCCCTATAAACTGCTCGCTTGAATTCAGTTTGCATGGAAATGTACAGACGCGGCCTTGGTTGTGAATTGCTACGCTGGTTTGGCAAATTGTTTCGGTCAACAATGTGGACGGAAATGTGGCTCCATCAATGGAATACCAAAAGCTTCTCTGCAGCGCTCATCACATATGTTAGTACTGAAGTGGGGTGTCAGCCAAATCCTTTCTTGAAATTGTATTCTGGTGTACGCCTGATCACTAGGGAATTACTTTTTTTGTTGTTGCTAAGGGATTTGAGGCGTGTTTCCTGGCCACAATGTTTTGGCAGGGGTGAACTAGGAATTGCAAGGGGGTCCACACTTGTAGTGTGCTGTGTGGTAATGGGGATGAAATGTTTTGCTAGCGGGTGAGCTAACACTTTTGATGTAATCCAGACATACATGTATTTGGAGCAGATGTACGTTTGAGGGAGAGACTCAGAGGGCTGGGAGTGAAGGGACCTATTTGGTGACCCTGTTGTGTTTCTTTGTTTCTGTTGAGGTGTGTGTTTGGTTGTGAAAGATAGGAAAAGGGAGAACACTGTGTAGTTTGTGTGTGTGCCAGCATGTTTGCAAGTGTACATTTTTATGCATCTCTGCATCCCAGTACATAAATACATTTGTAAATAGATAATATAATAAGTGACAGGTAGTCCACAGCGTCCAGCATCATTTACGCACATGTTAACTCATGCAGTGTTGTGTATGCGTGCAGGATGCAGTTTGGAGGCCTGGGTCAGCTATGTGACGGCGTCCTGGGAGGTGACGACTTTATACAAACTAAGGAGCTGAGAGTGTGGCCTGGGTATGACTACCTTGGCTGGAGCCGGGAAGCCCTGGGGCAAGGCAGCGTGGATATTGAGTTCCACTTTGAGAGACCACGTGTCTTCCACAACATGCAGGTAGGCAGTGAAAGTTGTGTTTGTGTCATGGTGCATGTGTATGTAGATGACTGTGAGAGGGTTATGCAGGACATTGCTATCCCACTGGAATCTCAGACAGCATGGAGCTGCCCATAAATCAGAGATGTCATCAAGGCCAAAAGCTCCAGTTCCCTGTCTGTGTCTTCAGGGAAGCCATCTTTCTAAAATATGCTCTGATGTGGATTATGAGGCACTGCAGCTCCGTTTTCGCCCACAAGACAGCGATTATACAGAATCTACAGAATGTCACATTTTACTCACATTCAGTCTCTCGTCTCATCTTGTATTAGATCTTATGGCAGTAAAAGAACTGTTCAATATGCAAGCTTTTCTTGATACACAACTTGGTCTGCCTTTAGAGGACATGATCTGATTAGATTTTGGAGCACCTTGTTGCATAAATCTGCATATTAAAGAAGTAAAACTGATTTTATTTAACTTTTGTAATTTAAAAATTAATATTTAAATGACAAGATCCTATAAATGATTCCTGTGTGTTATGTGGAGACAAAAAACAAGAAATTTCTGTAGCTCCAACTCGACCTACAAAAGGAACTCCAAGTTTGTATGTTTACCTCTTTTTATAAAACAGCAATAACTTTGTTAAACTGCCGTCTAACCAGGAAGTAACATTTTGACTGGAATAGCTCTGCAGCCATTTAATTAGTTTTAATGCGCCATTGTTTATCATGGGACAGTGCGTCTGTGCTCGGCTCTCTGGGTGCCACCAAGTTGCATCACAGTCTGTTTGTGCGTCTGTGTGGCTTTTGGGGTTAGTCTGTGGAGCAACATTGGGGGATGATAATATGTAGCAACCCAGTTTGAGTTATAACTGTGTTGTCTCATTGGACGCGGGTTGGAATGTCGGTTTGGGTTGGATTCACCCTATATATGTGCATATTCAACAGCATGAATCCCTAGTCAGTGTTATAAAAGTGACAAGTAATCTTTTAGAGGTATGGTTTTGACTAAGATCCAAAATTTCTGGATGTTCCCCCTCAGCTTTTATTTTCTTCACATATTCATTATTATTCTAGTGTTTCTCAGTTACCTTTTTGAAATCTTTCCCAGTGGTATTGCTAGTGTTTTTCCAAGGCATATCCTGTTTTTCCTGCCTTTTCCCTCTCTAACCTCAGCTGACATACACCGTTACGCTAGCCTGGCAGAGCGGAAATGTTAGACACACAGGTCAAATAAATAAAGAGTTGGAACCTGAACCTAATTCTGGCTTGACTTTTCCCTGTAGTTCATTAACCTGTACCTAATCACTCCCAAAGGGAAATCTTCTCTTTGACCTTTCATCAGTCGTAAACTGCAGTTCCTACAGGACCTTTAACAGACTAAGGACACTCTCTGATTTGCCTTTGTAAAGATCTAGTTCATTCCTTTGGGAATTTATGCAAAAATGTTTCTTTGTGAGCTCATGTGGAAGACTGGGCAACTAAACCAAAAGATAGAGGGAATTCTAATGTTTTATCGTAAATCTAATGTAGGTTAGATTTACGATAAAACAAGCGAAACATAATTAATGCGGTGTTATGCTCTCAAATTAAGCGTTTGGGCACGTCATTGGAGCTGTATTCCCTAAAGGAGTAGTGAATTACCTTGGTTCTGTTGACTTATTAGAGTCCCACCACTACCACCAACATACAATACATACCCCCACGCCCCCACCCATTTTGGCCCAGATAGAATCAGTTACACGTCAACTCAACATCTGGTGCAGCTGTTCTTCCTGCATCTCGTGTGTGATGCATTAACATGTGGATTAGGTTAGAGTGGCCGACTTTGCATTAAGTGTGAGGTTAATAGATAACCTGTTAGAGCAGTCTCTCCCACTATCCCCTCCTTAATTTTCTATCTCTCAGATAGTTTTGACCTCTCACTCTCTCATTTAAACGCCCTCCATCTACCTCCACATCCCTCACTCTTCTGCTCAAGCTCCTCTTCCTCCTTCCAGCCACAATGCCGACTCATATATTAGATCAGCTTTTATAGATTCTTCTGTCTTTGGCCTTTCCCTGCTTATAAAAACAGGAGAGATAGATCCCCTGCTGTCCTCCATCAGTCTTCTGTAATACACGTTTTTTCCCTCCTGTGTTCTAATTTTGTTCATTTGTATTCCTGCTCAGTTCGAAGTTGTGCCAAAGTAATTACGGTTGAACAGGATGAGAATGTGTCTTTCATTTTGTGTGTTAATTGAATCTCTTCCCACCTCCACGAATAATGAATGCTTTAAAGAGCTGATTTTCCCCGAGTTTTTGACAAGGGTTGAGATTATTCAGATGTGTGGATTGTTAAAGATCGTTAACATCTTGCATCTCTTAATCTTCCCTCTTTTGTTTCCCTTCACTGCACCCACACACTTGTCTCCTTCCTCTAGGTGCACAGTAACAACCGCCACACCCAGGGCGTTCGAGTCTTCAACAAGGTAGAGTGTCTTTTTAAGCCCGGCATCCTCCAGCCCTGGTCCTCTCCTGCCCTCACTCTGCCTGTGCCCCTTGAGGATCTAAAGGACCCCTCCTCTCGACCCATCTCCCTCCCACTGGGAGCCCGGCCGGCTCAGATCCTCCGCTGCACATTCTACTTTGCTGACCGCTGGCTACTCATCAGCGAGATATCCTTCCTCTCTGGTAGGAAACAGAATTGAAGTGATCAGTTTTTTTTCATACGTGAGATATGTGTTTCTGTGGCTCTGTCAGGCAGCGTATGTTCTGTAGAGGCTTTGCACTTGTCTCACACATACCCTAGTAATTATGTCTGGCACTGTGTCCAGTAGAGATTTGGCTTTGCCCAAACAATATCTAAATATAGACAGCAGAAACAGAAAAAGACATACCTTGAAAAAAGGTTGTTGTACTATGGGTGTTAGTCCAATCAGCATTTTTAAATACTTAAAGTAAAAGTCAAGTGAAGTGAAATTCAGTCTGATTGGCTAGATTTGTTTCTGTGACAGAATGAATTGCTCGTCTTTGGTGTGTGCTTTGAATTGATTTAAGGTATCAGCATTTTGTACAGTCAAGGACCATGTCCAGTCTCTGGCAGGGAATCGACAGAAAAATAATGCATTGTGCTGTACAAAACACTGCTTGTGGAGAATACATTAAAAGGGGTAATTCTTACCCAAAAGAGGCGAAAGGTTAAACATGGAATTTTAGAAATAAATAAAACAAAGATGAGCATAGATGATCAGTCCTCTTTTATACCCTCCTAACAAATTTTACCATTTATCAGAATCAGAAAATGCCAGTTTCCCTCCATCTGTTGTCTTGTCACTATCATTATCTCCTTATTTAAGGGCTGAAACAGACCCAGGCAGCAAATGGAAATTTATTTGATATCTTCTGTGATGATAGGATTTATGCCTGTCTGATTGGAAGTCAGATAGAGGACTCTTCTGCTGCTCTCCAGCTGAGATTGCTGTGACTAATTAAACTGTCCTCTGCTCAAAAACAGTGTCAGTTGTTGCGTGATAAAAATCACCAAAGTGAAATGACTTGTCCCAGCAGCAGTCTGGCATGTCTGGTTGCAGGACTCATGCAAGACTGTCGCACCAGTACACTGGTTTGCTTCTGGACACAGGCAGAAAGATCGCATTAGGGCTACACTTACGACTTGTATTTGGTCCTCTGGTACCAACACAGGGTTGATTTTTAGCAAAAATTGGACTGATTCTATTGTTGGTTACCCAACTATCCAGTAGGCTTATTTTGTAAAAAAATAAAATGTTATTGAACACACTACAACACAGAGTTGTTGTCTAGTATGCAAGTTTAAAACTAAACAATGATGGTTAGCTAGCCGGTTAACTAGAGCTTTCAAGGTAACAATTGCACAATACACAATCATTCAGATTAGTCACTAAGGAATGGATCAGTTCCATGTCAAAAACAACATAATTAACATAATCTCCTGAGATGAAAACTGTTTGTCTGGAAACACAACCAGCTGTTACCACAACCACTGTTTCCCAACAGCAGAGGACAACCAGACGGTGTGTTGTGCCATACGAAAACATATAAAACATGATTCATTTTCATTCAATTATGTCCCCGTCTTTCTCTTTTCCTCCTTATCCAGAGCCGCTTGAGGAGGATGTCACGGAGACTGATTCATTTCCTCCTAATCTTCCCAAGATTCCTACCACCAGTTCCTCTCCTCCTTCTGTTAACCACACCTCCTCCTCTCCCACATTGAGCCACAGCTCTTCCAACGCCACCGCCAGCCCATCTGGTGAGTCCTGATGTTGCCCTCTTCATCTTTATCTCCCTACTCTTCACCCCTACATCTTCTTGTATTTACTATCTTTCTTTCCACCGACCATCCTTTCTCCATTGTCCCCTTCTCTCACCCACTATGCTGCTTCATTTGCCCTTCCTTACTGCTCTCTCCTGCCTCCCTAATCCCCTGATATCTCCCTCATCACCTCTCTTCTCTATGCCAATCTCTTTCTTTTCAGTTGTGATGAGTGTGAGCATGTCGGCAGTGTGTCTAAGCCATGTGTCTAAAGCCGAGCCAAAGACAGGCAATGCCAAAAGAGGCCCATGTCTGACTAGTCTCTCTCTTTATCACAAGCTCTGAAATCCTTTGGCCTTGAGCCAACATTTGCTGAACCTGAAGTCCACACCAGATGCTCATCTTACAGATTTCTTTGTACTTAAAGGACAGGAGATATCTGGCTTAAAATTAAAGGTCAAAAGTTTTAACTTACAGTTCTTATCATTTTCATCATGTCACTCTGGCTTGTAAAAAGTTGTTGTGAACCTGTAGGGATTTTTTTATTTTGATGGATGAAAATCCAAATGAGCCAGAACTCTGCTGTCCATTATTTCCTCCTCCTCATCCCCCTCTTCACCACCTCTCTTCTCTCACCTTCCTCCTTTGTCCATCCTTCGCTCCTCTAGAACCCCCCACCACCACCTCCTTCATGATGGACACCACTGGTAACTGGACACTGTCAGGTGAGAGAGCAAAAGAGAAAAAAAGAGAGAGGATGAACTGAGGCACGGGAGCTAGCTCCATCCCCTCTGGCCATCCTCCAGCATCTTAAAACTGTCCCACTGCTCAGTAGAGAATATGAAGTATAATGGAGGAAGGATTACAGGGACAGGCTTTGGCATTGGGCTCTGTCCCCTGGGTTTAAAGATATACAGCTGTAGGAAAAACGCTAACAGAGCTATAGTACATTATATTTATGTACAATAGCAACTTGGCTTCCCGCGGTCTCAAAAGCTGCATGTTTTTTTGAGGGGGGGGGGGGGACTGGCTCTGTTCTACACACTTAAACAATAACATGCCTTTTAAAAAGCTGGAAATGGTTTTCTGTGGTGTGTATGCTGCTTTGTCCTTGTTACTGGCTGTGGTTGAATGGCTTTGTTTGGGTTTATTTATTACCTGCACGGTGATGAACTGACAGAAGGAGAGAGAGAGAAATGGGGTTGTTTTCTGTTCTGTGACAATGCGGTGTGTAAATCATGTAAATGTGTGTGTGAGTGTGTGCATGGAGGTGTATATTTGTGTTTATGTGCATACATGCACATCAAAGCATCATATATGGTAGCCTATGTGTTTTTTCTGTATTTTTAACTGCTTATTCCAAACATCACTTGTTGTTTTAAAGTGGTTTTAAGAGTTTGTTTATGAGCAAGATTTACACCAAACTATACTGAAAAAACTAGCATAGTTTCATCCCTAATTCAAATAACATGCCACATCTGACCTTAAAAGGAGAAAAAATAACTGGGGGATTCAGATTAATAGTTGAATACAAAGCTGCTGAGAAGCAAAACAATGTTCACATTCTATTCTCATAGCAGCGGGCTCTGAGAAGCCCTGTGGTATGAGTGGGCATACTGAATGCATACTCACACAGACAATCCCCATCAGATGTTTAGTAATCCTGATGAAACTATGTTGGAGTGTATGTGTGTGACTCTCAGTCTGAACATACGCACACATGCCACCGTGCAGTCATACACACGCAAATACGCAGAGAAGTAGACAGTGCTGCATGGAAATCTCTACACATCACATCACAGCAGGGTTTCAGACATTCAAGCATATACCCGTACAGACACCAAACATTTCCTCCTGTGTTTTCCTCTTGTAGATCCAGAATTTGGTGCAAACACTCCAAGGGCGGGGCTTCCTGTAGCCAAGGATGACAGCAGTAATACAGCTATTCTGATTGGCTGCTTGGTGGGCATCATCCTTCTGCTGCTGGCTGTGATAGCCGTCATTCTGTGGAGGCAGTATTGGAAAAAGATACTGGGCAAGGTGAGTCAAGATTGAGGTCACATGCAATGTTTTTGTTTAATTTTCAAGCAGCCTATGTGCAGTTTGGCTGTAACTTGACTTTGTTTAGCAGCCTTAAAAGGTCAGTTGACCAACATATTTTCATATTTACCCCTAGTCTTATCTAGCCATGCATTCTTGGTTTTGTCAGCCAACCTTTTGGAACATATATCTGTTCCATCATATTTCTGTTACTCTGGATAATCCATAGATCTAGCTGTTGGCAGTTTTCATTCAACCTACTTTCTACAGAAAAATCCTGAGTAAGAAAATGTAGTCTTGTGTGATTTGGCTTAACTGCCACTTTAACCAAGTTTAAATGATTGATAGCAGGCTGAGGACAACCATCTGGATGTTTTGTGGGAATCCTTGTACATTTATGTGTAATTGTTCAAAGATTAGAGTCTGTTTCCACAGTTTGATCACCGTCTGCTTTAGGGATTTGAATGAAACCAATTTAGAGAGGCGTTCAGAGGTAGGTTGTGGTGTTGTTGAACGTTTTGTGTTATACTGAGAGGTGTACGTCCAAATATTTAGCCTAGTAAGTAAGTAAGTAAGTAAAGTTTATTTAATATAGCACCTTCACAGATCAAGGTCACAAAGTGCTTTACAAGAGCAAAATATTAGAAATATTAGAAATAAGTCCATCAAAGTAAAGTTGTGTGCAGTCAAGGCACCAGTGAGCTATTTGGCAGCAACTTACTCTAGAATTTCTGAGATAAAACTTACATATAGACCTATAGTATATATAGAGGAATGAATCAAGGTTAGTTTTCTAGTTGTCTGGCTGCACACCTGCATGTTTAAAATAAGCTGGGCCAAACCAGACTTCAAGGAGCTATTTATGATCGATACCAGGCATGGACTAACAGACCCAAGTACATTTCTGAGCGGGGAAGTTGGTAAAATATCTAAAGGGTTTGAGGAGGAGTTTTCTAGCTGCCCACTAGATCAGTAAGGTCATGCGAGGAAATATGAGTGAAACAGTCCAAAATGTATGGAAAAACAGAACATTTTCAAGCTTCTTTAATTCACATTATTTGGGATTGCCATTAGTTAGGTAATTTTTGGCAATTAATATTTTTATAATTTTCTAACATTGCCTACGCCAGCTTTAACAATGATTACATCATTTTTATATTTATGTTTAATTATTTACTTATTTTCCTCACATAGTTTAATTTGTATACCCTCTGTATGTTATCATGTCTGGGGGAAGGGGGATGTGTTTAAATAGTGAATTGTCAAAGTTGTATTAATAAAAATTCTGAAATAAGTTTTGTTAAAAAACATTTTAACTTTCATGAAGGTGGAATTTATTGCAGGACTGTTAGATTACATTAGTTAGTGTATATTACTTGCACTCACATGAATCCTGTGCCCTCCCAGGCCCAGGGCAGTCTATCCAGTGATGAGCTGCGGGTTCACCTGTCAGTCCCCTCGGACAACGTGGTCATCAACAACACACACAGCTACTCGAGCCGCTACCAGCGCATCCACACTTTCCCTGATGACCGCGACCATGACAGAGAGGGAGAAGGAGAGTACCAAGAGCCCATTGCTCTGCTACGGCCAAGGGATCAAAGAGACAGCACAGGTAAGTGAGAACACAATAATAAAGTGCATTTAGATATAGGATAGGGTTTGTTGTTTCCGTTGTAGTGCAGTGGTTAAAAAAAAATCACGCTGAGCTTAATAGCTTAACATGACATGCAACATGCTGACATGCAGTAAAACATACCACATGCTAAATACATGGGGAAAGAGACTGATGTATAGCCAACCACACACACAATTGGCATGAAGTCAGTGGAAAATCTGAAACCGTGCAACTTTACATATGTACAGAATTGAAATTACAGATTGCTCCATTTGTGTGCCTGTGTTTGGCTTTTGCAACCTCCGTTTGTTGATCAGTAAGCAAACTCATTTGCAAAGGGGAAACAGAAGGAGAAAAAAAAAATGTGGCACCCATATTAAGAAAACACTGGTATTCCAATGTATTTCACCACACCAAACAAAAGTAAATCAAACCAAACACCCCGCGAGGAAGATTGCCTCCAAGAAGATGCACAGCGCAGAGGGGGCACAAAAGAGCTATTGTTCTGAGCAAAGGGAAGAAAAAGAAGAGGGAGGGGAAAAAGAGAAAAAGCATTCCTTCACTTGCCTTGCACCACAGGAGGTCTGCATGCCGTTTTTACTAGGCGTCTGTGTGAGTTTGAAATAACACGTGTAACAGAAACATCATTTCATCCACTGGTTTTTGTAATATTTGGTTGGAGGTTGTTTTAGTTGTGTTAACTTTGCCTGTTCTTACTATGCTCTTCTGTTCTGTGCTCCATGTATCAATGCAACCCCTCCTCCTTCCCTTATATTATAATGAAAATGCTAACAGTGTCATGCTAATTGGTTGTTATCGTGTTTCATTGTGTGTGTGTGTGTGTGTGTGTGTGTGTGTGTGTGTGTGTGTGCGCATTTTGTATCACGTGCCGCTTTGTACAATCTTTATGACCCATATCATGGTTCTTGCGTGTACCCCGCCTCGTCCTGTGCGTGTTTTTGTGTGTTTTTGTGTGTGTGTTTATGTGCCCACCCAGCCTTGCTGTTAAACAACCCAGCCTATCACCTGCTCCTGTCAGATCACAGAAAAGGCATGAGACCCCTAGTCGTCCCCAGCACCAGTCAGGCTCAGGAGAAGAGTCTCAATGTGCCCCAGGGTAAGAGACCTCAGACTGGGACAACACAGTCAAGAGGGGGCACCTACGTCACTACCTACCTACCTGTCTATCCAGGGTTGTGGCATTAGAAGTATTTTGCATGTGTATGACCTCCCTCATCCCTCCCACTATTACTCACATAATTAGTCACTCTCATTCACTCACCACTTGAAAAAACTCATGCTTTGTTTGAAGGGATAGTTTGGTATTTGGGGAATTGTATACATTTCCAAACTTACTCAGAGACTGACAAACTCATAGACGCCTTTGTTTAGCCTTGCTTGCGGCATGGCTGTGTTGATGGCAATGTCTGTCTCTTGGTCTGTCACTTTGGTCTAGATTGAAATCATTTTACAACTGTTGGATTGGTAGACACGAAATTTTCTAAAGAAATGTGTGGTACCTGGAGGATGAATGGTACTGACTTTGGCATTTCCCTGACTTCATAAAGCACGATCATTGAACTTGAAGTAAAAGGCTTGTGTGATCCCCTGACTTTTCCTCTAGCTCCACCATGAGGTTGACCTTTGTGGTTTTGAGTGAAATGTCTTAACAACTGTTGGATTGATTGCAATGAAATTCCACACATTGACATCCTCCTCAGGATGAATTGTAATCACTTTGGTCACTCCTTCACTGTAGCACTATCACAAGGTCAGGATTTTAATTTGTTGAATACCTCAGTTTATGACCCATTAGCTGAAAAACTAATGACATTCCCATCAGCCTCAGATGTACTTTGTGTTTAGCGCTAATTATACAACGTTAGCATGCTAACATGGTAAACATTATACCTGCTAAACAAAAGCATGTAAGCAAACACAAGGATGTGAGCATGTTAGCATGCTGGCATTAGTATTTACCACTAGCATGGCTGTAGAACCAAAGGCTCCAATATGTTCAATAATGACCTTAGTGTATGGAATCACGAAGCCACTACTTTAAAATAAAAAAAACAAATACTTACAAATACAATGCATGTTAAGGATTCAGTACTTTGTAGGCCTGGTGTCAACATTTTTTGATCAATATCGTTATAAATTCAGCCAATAAACATTAAAAGAATTCCTGTTGTTGCAGTGTGCACTTTGAAGGGGATTGTAAAGTTTCCTGTCATCTACATTATGATTTTAACAAAGGTATAGCAACTTAGTATTCAAAAGCCACACTCCCCATAAGTTTTTGACTTATGTGCGCTGTCAGAACATCATGGAAACTGATCGTGTTGAATGTTAAATGAAGTTGTTAGACCTTTGTTGAATTAAAACTTTCTAAGAGGTGCTTAAATTTAATCAGCAAGTACAGCAGTAGACCAACACAATGTCCCAGATAGACTGACTCTAATAAAGTCCACTCATCTGTCACAAGAAATGCAGTTCTTGTTTTCCTGATTTTGACACCTTCTACATGATCCAATAGACATCCAGGGTTGTCTATTGGAAAAATAGGCACTGCAGGGCTGATCCCAAGCATCTGATGTTGTGGCAGGTCTTTTACTTGTCCCCAATGTTTACTGCAACAGACAGTGATAAATGACTTTTTACTAGTTCAGAATAAGTAAATCTGAAGACAAATAAATAAACCCTTTTATAAAATTTTCACTTTTATGAGTTGGCTTTTCACAGTTTTACCAAGTTTGTTGTTTTATCCTTTATTTTATTGCTTCAGATTCAATTTTACCCATCTCTGTAACTCTTAGCCTTTTTTTTTTTATCATGCTGTGTTTTATTGTTACTTTTGCTTTTCTGTTTTAAACTTCTATTTACTGTACAGAACCTTTTGCAATATAAATGTCAGTTAAATAAATGTTATGTAAAATGAAATTCCCCCAAATCCAAACTATCTCTTCATAACAAGTTGTCTGAATACTTGTCGGAATGTGTGATATCATCCGATTTTTTTCACTCACAAACTGTCTTAGCAAAACAGAACTGTTATAATCACACACTCTTCTTCTCTCAAAGTAACCTCTTCATTTCATCCACCCTATCTGTCTCTTCCTCCTCCCTTCAGCCTGTGGTTTGGACATGGACATGGAGAAGGGTTTCCCCCCAACTCATGAGGAGCCTCCTCCCTACCCTGGCTCCCCTCCTTACCCCTCCCTGTCTCCACCCGTATCTCCCCCACTGCCTCCCAGCGTTCCTCATTACGCTGAGGCTGACATCGTGAGCCTGCAAGGTGTCAGCGGTAACAACACCTACGCCGTGCCCGCTTTGGCCTCTTCGAGCCCCGGGGCAGACGCTGCCCCGCTCCCAGAGCTGCCGCGCCAATGTCTTATCTTCAAGGAGAAACTGGGAGAGGGACAGTTTGGAGAGGTGAGGAATGACGTGTGTGTGTGTGTGTGTGTGTGTGTGGGTGGGTGGAGGGGTGATTTTGCTTTAACAATGTCTGCATTTCTTTGTGGAAGGTGCACCTGTGTGAAATCGAGAGCCCTCAAGACCTTCCCAACTTGGAGTTCCCCTTCAATGTGCGAAAAGGTCGCCCTCTCCTGGTAGCAGTGAAGATACTGCGCCCGGACGCCTCCAAAAATGCCAGGTCTGTAACATTGTAAAGAGCTGAACCTGGCTTCAGTGTGGTTGACAGTGTTTCTTCCTGCGTTTTTATCTCCTCTTACCCCTTTTGAAATGTGTTCCCGCTGGTCATTGAATTTCTGGAATATCAGGATATATTTAAATTCGTATTTCAGACAGAGGGGTCAGGAAATTTTATAGACTTCCTTGAGAAGTTGGGTAGTATCAGGGAATGCTTACAAATAGATTTTGTTTTAGTTTTTTTATGGTACGGTTTTTTTATGGTTGAGTGTTAGCAGAATGCACCCAGCATTCACATACTATATCAAGTTATCAGTTCCTTAACTAATGTGTTGCTAATCAACTTACATGTTCAGTTGAAGCAGAGCAGATGTTTTTTTTCACCTGCAAATCCAGTATTTTCTCAAATATTAGCCTTGATTCGGTACCTGAGCTCCTGAGAAAAATATCGGGGCCTTCTAGATGTTTGACTCTGTTCCGCAGCTGCTTGTTTACTTTGGCTCGCAGCCCTTTTTTGCGCTGGGCAGCTGAAATCAGCGTATGCGAGGCTCACGTGCAGGGAGTGACTGTCCATAGCTTCATATGTGTGAGTTTAAGTGAGAGACAGAGCAATGCAAACATACTGACCAGAAAAACAAATCAATGAGGACAAAAGCCACATAAAGCTGCAGACTGGGGTGTTGATGCTTGGGGGAATCAGCAACCTTCTCACTTGACTCAGTGGTAACATCAAAAATGTTGTTTGATGAAGCTTTAATATTTAAGTGATTTATTTTTCAGGCAGAAGAAAGAACCCAAAACCAGCATATTTTTATCCCTCCTTTGCTTTATCTCTTCTGAATCTACCAGTTTTCTCTTCCTTATTCTTTATTTCACGCTTCCTTCTCACCCTGGTAGGAACGACTTCCTGAAAGAGGTTAAGATCCTGTCTCGCCTGAAGGACCCAAACATCATTCGTCTGCTTGGAGTGTGTGTGAGCAGTGATCCCCTTTGTATGGTCACTGAGTACATGGAATGTGGAGACTTGAACCAGTATCTGTCCCACAGAGTGCTTCTGGACAAGACTGGGCCTTCACAAAATACTCCGACCATCAGGTAAACCAGAAATGTGAACACACACTTGCACATATATGCAGATATAAATGCAGACTTTATTGTTTATTCTCTCTATCTGTCACCATTTCCCCTCCAGTTACCCAGCTCTCATCTCCATGGCCAGCCAGATTGCGTCAGGAATGAAGTTCCTCTCCTCCCTCAACTTCGTGCACCGGGATCTGGCAACACGTAATTGTCTGGTTGGGGGTGAGAAGGGTGAGAGCGGAGAGGATCGGGGTGGTGAGCGTCACATTAAGATAGCTGATTTTGGCATGAGCAGGAACTTGTACGCTGGAGACTACTACAGGATCCAGGGCAGAGCTGTGCTGCCGATACGCTGGATGGCCTGGGAGTGTATACTCATGGTGAGAGGACAGGAATGAGTGTGCATCTCACGATGTGCGATGGTTGCAATACTATGTGTTATAATGTTTTATACTGACCATGAATTTGGGGGGGGGTTTCTTGAAAAAAATTTAACACGAAATTTGTATACAAAAAAAAAGAGTTTTACTACTTTAGAGGGAATCTGTTGCATAATTAACAGTTATCTCCCCATTTTTCTTTTCACTTTGTGTGTTACTCAAAGATTTTCAGATTTTTACTCCCAACAACAGGAACTTGTTCACTGTAAACGATGGAAGTCGGTCTTCATGTGGCAGAAAATAAACCTTTGGCTTCACAGACAAGAAATTAGGAGATGTGTTTATCCCCTTCTGTTCCTTTAAAGAAATCTCAATCAATTAAAATGTAATTTATATTATATTTTTATTATATTAAATGTGTCATTCTCTTACCAACAATTTGCCATCCAATAATGATGATGGCGACAGATGGCGAATTTTAATACTGATGGAGATTACGATGTTGAAGATGACAGCGTTGATCTGCATGGTTGTGTGTTCCCAGGGTAAGTTCACCACGGCCAGCGATGTGTGGGCATTCGGGGTCACTCTGTGGGAGATGCTGAGCATTTGTCAGGAGCAGCCGTACTTCAACCTCACTGATGAACAAGTCATCGACAATGCTGGGGAGTTCTTCAGAGACCAGGGCAGACAGGTACAACACACACACACACACACTGGTTTAGGGATATAAAGTAGCCTGTTTTCTCATTTGAAATATTTTTGAACCGTTTATGCCCAAAATTAATCTATGTATGTCAAAATTTACTAAAGCTCAAACTGATGATGGACAGAAAACAGGCACATGAATGTTCTGCTCTGTTGAAGATCTGAACGGGTCTTTCAGGATCACCTCTCAGTCACTCATTAAAATAAACACATCAACCACAGCACAAAATCTCAACTGACTGTATGGAGGTTCATGATATCAGAAGCCCTCTAGTGGCTGGTCTTATTCATCTGTTTGAGCATTTAGTAGAGTAACACAATGTTGAAATCACAATTCTTCAAACCAACTAAAGACAGTTATTAATCTGCAAATCACCAAACTCAGCAATCAGTAATCCATATTAATTAAAAGCAGGAGACTGTGTTAGACCAAAAGGATGTGAAATTAGTCAGAATCAAATCTGATAAAATAAGTATAAGCAGGGCTTTATCGCACAAGAAAAACATCTCACCAATCAAATGGTGCCACCGCCATACACCTTTCTCCCTCTCTCTTGCAGGTATATCTGAGCAAACCGGCTGTGTGTCCTCAGGGTCTCTATGAGCTCATGTTGAGTTGCTGGAACAGAGACTGCAAGCTCCGCCCGTCCTTCGCCTACATCCACTCCTTCCTTACTGAGGACGCTATGAACATGGTGTAGAGAGAGAATCAGAGAAAGGCAACGAGGAGAAAGGCAACGCTAAAAAGGAGAAACGTCCCGTACGTTTATGCATCCTTGCTACAGCGGGATGATGGTGGTGGAGGTGCTGCACGGCGGAGGCAGATGAGGAGGAAGAGTGGGTTGATTGCTTTTATATACTTTTTGGGTGGATGGGGCTGAGACACCGCTGGTTCGGTTCATTTCCACATCAGACCCCAACCCCAAAGGCAAAACTAACCCCAGCTTTAGATTATCTAACAGTCCGAGCTACATTTCAGAGTGGGTTGGTGGTGGGTGCAGTCTGCTTAGGAACTTTCTGTCTTCTTAGATACTCAACATGCAAGGAGGGTTTGTGTGTGACTGGTAATTAATTACAAAAGAAGCTGCAGAGGCTACATTGACAGAATATACTCCAAACTATGACCATAGCAAGCTAGGAAATGAACAGTTATTAAGCTTCATGACTTTTGTTAATCAACATCTCAGATGCTGCATGTAGTCTAACAGGTGACGGTGCACATGACACACAAACCTCTCTCAGCCTCTTTCATGTCTGAACAATAGGTGTTCTACCTATTGTTCAGACATGAAAGTGCACAACAGCAATTGTCCTAGATTTTACAGTATGTGTAGCCTACTGGACACATTTTAAGTCCAAGCTTCAGCCCCATTTGCCCATCTGAGAAACAAAAAAATGATAATCCACAAAAAGTCTTTGAAAATATTTTAGGCTTCAGACATGGCTGATGGTGATAAGCAGAACTCATTATGTTTGGTAACCCTTCATCAATCCTCTGTCTCAACCCCACAACCTTACATAGTGACCCGAAGTTATTGTGGACTCATGTGAAATGATGTGGACCAGACAACAGCAGCCCCCCTTTCTGCAATGTGCCCCCCCCCCCCATTGCAGTCAAGAAATCCAACCAGTTTTTCTTAGCCACAGAGAAAAGAACTGTTTCCCAGAAGATGAAATTCTGCGGCTGCCGATGAGATGTGACCCACAAACTGGAATGACTTTTTCTAAGCAGAGAGACAATACTGCCAGCCGGAGCAGTGGACAGGACATCTTCAGATGCACCTGTTCTGGTGTTATGGCAATCTTTGTATATGGTGGTGACCCAGATACAAAAGATAAATGTAAAATTCCACAACCAGCTGCACTTTAAATCCTACCTGCCATGCATATCCCTGGCCATGATGAAACTCTTCTCTGTGAGGGGCCTGATATGATTCCTGTCGATGTGGATTCTAATTGTATTTTACTTGCAGTGAATTTAGTAATATTTGCCAAGGGAGATCAAAATTCAGGACGGTCTGTCTGCCTTTTTCAAATCCTCTCCCAGAAGGTGTTGCCAAACCATTAAAGATGTAAAATATTATTTAAATAATGGAGTGGCACCATCAGTTCATCTCATTTTAAATGTATGACGACCCTTTGTTCTGAAACTAACAGTGTGTTGAGACATGTTCACTCGATCGCTCAGTCTTTGCTCATCCAAATACATACACACAGTTATGGTATGGTAAGTGGGAATGCTGGGATTTTAGCATGAATGTCAGCATCGCCCTCTGCATTATCCTGTGTTAGTACATTAAGCTGACTGGTAGAATCATCTATCTTACTGATTATATAGCACTGTAAATCAGTCCTAAAATGATCAAGATTATTAAGTAATACATGTTTACTGATTGTGAATGGTTGTGCCATTTGAGTCATTTTTGATACACTGTAGTTCAACTAAATCCATATTTTTATATATACTATATGTACTTAAGACACTCCTTTGTGTCTGCTTTTGTCCATTTGTATCTGAAGTTGAGCATATTAGTATGTACATATGTTAAGGACAGAATTGTAATTTCCTTTAATAATGGAAAACTCTGTTACATTCGGGGTCTTCTGTATCTCTGTAGAACGCTTGCTATCTTGATGCCATTGTAATTCATTGTTGTCTATTTTTGTAGATGTTTTAATAAAGTTAACCTTTTCAAATAAATTAAAACGTGCCCTAGGGCTGTAACTAACTCTCTCTCTCTCTTCCTCATGACCCCCCCGGAACTGTGGATTTATAGCGAATTTAAAAAAAGTTTTCTCCCACTGTTTATTATTTAAGTATGCCTACTAAATACAGAGCGTTACATCGCGATGCAGAGCTGCAGTGAAAACGCAGAAAAAACATATGCATGCTGTGTTTCTCTCAGGTACAGTGACTGGGTAAGGAGAGCGAGACTGATTTAAAAGCCGTCACTTTCAGTGTTATTAAGTGAAACCCCGTAGCTCTGTGTTCGGGCATGTTCAAAGGTGTAACAGGGACACTGGGCTGCTTGTCATCATAGAAACAGATCAAAAGATCGTGATGTTTATTGCAGCTTCAGTGATATCGACTGCCTTCCCTTCGACACACAGCCCCGCTGTTCGCCGGAGCAGATGTCTCGTGAGTGTTGATAGGCTATTTTTCGCGACATTAAGCGACTCCAGCCTGTTATATGTTAACATATAAATAAAATACAGGAATTTCACTCACCAAGTAGAACACGGATTTTTTTTTTAGTAAGGTCAAATACTAGACTGAATAACATACAAAAGAAGCAGAGACTGATCTGGCTTTCATCTACAGCCGTCGACGGCCAATGGCTAATGATCACGTGAGGATATATTACCTGACAGAAACGTAATAGGCTTGAGTAAAGTCTACTGTATGTCTGTTTAAAGCAAGCACACAGAAGCAGCAGGCTGGTTAGTCAGTTGGTTAGTTAGTGAGGGTCCTTCTTTACTCTCACCATAGTCATGGCCAAAAATATGGGCACCCCTGCACGTCTCTCACATAATGCACAACCCAGAAAATTGTTTTGCACCTTTTAAAAATCTCCAAAAATAATTGTATTTCAAGCATGTGATGCTTCTTTAATTTGTAATTTAACTCACCTGTAGCAATTCACAGGTGCTGGCAATGTAGAAATAAATCTTACAACCATTCAAATTTTGGAAAAGCACACACAATCTCAAGTTTACAGCCCATGGCACTGTAGGTAATTTCCATGGATGTGGACGAAAGACAAAAATTGATGAACGATTGCAACGGATTGTAAAATAATCAACTTCCATACAAATTCAGGCTGATCTGCAGACACAGGGTACAACAGTGTCAGCTCGCACTATCTGCTACCATCTGAATTTAAAGGGATGTTATGGTAGGAGACCCAGGAGGACCCTGCTGCTGACACAGAAACAAAACTTACCTGAGGAAGCCTAAATCCTTCTGGGAGAATGTCCTGTGGACAGGTGAGACTGAAATAGAGCTTTTTGGAAAAACACATCATTCTTCTGTTTTCAGAAAATAAAATGAGGCCTTCAAAGAAAAGAACCCGTTCCCCAAAACATGGTGGTGGCTCATTGATCTTTTGGGGTTGCTTTGCTTCAGGTCCCGGATGTCTTGACTGTGTGCATGACATTATGAAATCTGGAGACTTCCAAATAATTCTAGGACGCAGCGTAGGGCCCAGTGTGAGAAAGCTGGGTCTCCATCAGAGGTCATGGGTCTTACAGCAAGACAATGGCCCAAAGCATAATTTTTAAAAACACACTTTATCTCTATATAAAGGATGAGTGCACAAAGATAGTCAATACTAGAACTACAGTGACAGTAACAATACAGCCACACAGAAAACTAAGAGGTGATGCTGTGATAAAGAGCGCAACACCATTTAATCAAGTGAAAGGCACAAAAACACGTTTAGATAAACTACAGCCGCAGACATTTTCTACATTAAAAAGTTTTTAAAAATGAGGCTGATTGCGGTCAGATAAAAAAATTAAAAACAATGACAGGAATTCCTACTTGCACCATCAACAGCTAAATTGGACTGAGGCTTTTTGTCTCCTCCTGGCAAAAAAAAGTAGCTTCATGAATAACTGTATACCTTGCAGCTGCTTCTGCTGTCACCCACCGCAGTATGCACAACAACTCAGATCATGTTCATGAAAGGAAACCACATAAAGGAGGAAGAACAATTCTGTTTAGATGGAGGAGGAACCAACAAAACACATGCAGGCACACAAACAATCACACAGGACTACAGTGTGCAGTCATTACAGTGGCTATAGGCACAAGCAGGAGATGTGGAGCTCTGAGTCTGATCATTAGTGACACCTCTCCTGATTTCTTCTACTCTTCTTCTCTTCTTAATGCACACGCATGGTCTTTCCTGTAGCCTGCGAAGTCAATGAGAGAACCATTCAATTATTATTACCTGCACCAGTAGTTCAGTCTCATACATGATCTGTCACACACATACTCCAGCGTACCTGGGAGATGTCGATTCCAGTGAGTTTCTCCACAGTCATGGGCAGCCTGGTCATGATATCGAGCACCTCTCCAGCAAGTTTGGCTGCTCCCACCTCTGAGCCGCCACTGGACACCATGGTGACCTTCTGGACTTCCGACAGTGGCTTGCTGATCTCCTCTGCCATCTGCAGGACAAGACAGAATCGAGGAATAAATACAGTGAAGGGGAAATTTCAAAGCAGAAGCAAAACAACACTTAAGGAAATTTAAATCAACTCAACATAAAGGGCGTGATTGAATTTAGGAAAAAATGTGAATAAATTGACAAAGATGGGATTTATATGGAAACATGAACATTTTCTTGAACAGAACTGAGAGTCACACAACTTCACTGCAACAAGGAAAAGGAATTTCAAAATATTTAAAAGGCTTTCAGGTTGCTTAATATTAAAAAAATAAAACTCAGAACAAACTAACTTTAACACAACTAATACGAAATGTCCACTATGAAAAGGCAATTCTGTGATGCCAACAGCAAGTCCACTGAGAAATGAAAAACCAGAGGTGGCAAACTTTTGTTAAAGCAAAGCAGTACAAAGTGAAATAGTGATCCAAGGTTTGCAATAATCACAGTATTTCATTGTACAGCTCTAACATTTATCTTCATCTGTTCATTCATCCATTAGAGTCAGACTGACCAGGGGCAGTTTCTCCAGCAGCATGTCCACCATGGCTCCCTCTTTGTACTGCTTGAAGGCCTCTGCTTTCTTGGCCATCTGCTGCGCCTCGGCACGACCCTTAGCCTCCAGGGCAAAAGCCTCTGCCTCGCCCTTCATCTACATGGACACGTACATAAATTAAGATTACAATAGAAGTGTACGGGAGTAAATTTCCTGACAGAAATAATGTTTGGTAAATGTAATATTCTCAATTGGCAGACAGGGAAAAGTGGAAATCTGGATGGAGAATCTTAGAAAAGTACTCACTCTGATGGACTCGGCCTCGGCCTCAGCCTCCATGATAAGCTGCAGGCTGCCAGGAGTGACAAGAAATTGCAGATTGTTTTACTTTCTCAAGTGATTTGTGTCCTTGATACTGTTAAGGTGTTAGATGCACATCTCTTAAAAGTATGCTGTAATGCTCACCGATATGCCTCCGCCAGCCTCTCCAGCCTGTATTTCTCCGCCTCTGCAGGCTTCTTAACTTTTGCCTCCAGTTCCTTCTCCTTGCGGGTGATCTCCTGCTCCTGCAGTGTGATCTGCTGTGTCCGCTCCACCACCTGAACCTGCATCTTCTCCTCCTCAATGCGCTGCTTGGTCTTGGCCACCTGACAAGGGAAGCGAGGAAAACAGAAATAACAAGGCATCAGCCTTCTATCACCAAATGGAAATCAGATATTATCTACAACCTGGATTGGTCGTGTTGGTACAAACTCGACCCGCCAGCCTAATAAAATGTGTGGACGAGGTGTATACAAGCTGAACAGACTGACCAGGACAGACTAAATTTCCACAAACACAAAGTTCACATTACACAAAACACAGCAAACGTGAAGACTGTACCTGAAGTTGATAGGCCATTTCTGACTCCGCCTTCTTGGTGTTGACCTCAACATCATAGGCTGCCTTTTTCAGCTCATAGTCTCTCTGGGATTTTGCCATCTCAATCTCATTCTTGTACTGAGCTGAAACTTTCTCCTGCATCGCGTGGGCCTCCTGTATGTAGAATGTAGCAGGACAGGGAAAACAAGAATGTTTGGTATTTCTTTTCTACTGATGGCTTATTCTCATTTTCAGATTATCCATATGAGTAAATAGGCAAAAACAAAATAGCTCATTTTACCTTCATGACAGCATCTCGTTTGTATTGAGCCTCTCCGATCCTGGCATCCCTCTGCACCTGGGCTGTTCTTGCTTTACCCAGGGAGTGAAGGTAGTCCTGCGAGAGAGCGACATAGAGAGAGAGCAAGGGAGGGAGTGCATTAGGCAAACAAAACCAAGAGATGGTGTGGTTACTACTGAAGCACTTAGACCTAATTCATCACTAAGTAGTGTAGTATAAAGCGGTTCAGTCACAGACAGTGAGTAAATGTGTGTTACTATGGCAAAAAGGATTTCGAGTGAGACTAAAAGCTTTTATACAAAAAAAGATAAAGGCTCATAGTGACACTTCAGATTCCTGCTGCTCCAGTAATTAGTGTTTGGTGTGGTGTTTTAAGCATCAGATTTATGTCACTAGCACTGGCTGAAAATGAACCCAAACACACATAAAGTACCTGATCATCATAAACATCTTTGAGCGTATAGCTGACGATGCCAATTCCCATGTTGACCAGGTCAGAGGAGGCCACCTTAAAGACCTGCTCGGATAATTTCATTCGGTCCTGGTAGATCTCCTGTACGCAGAGGAGAGATATATACATCATAGTTATTACATACTGTTTATGGGGAAGAAAATGTCAAGCAGATCCATTTAACGAAGTCAGTACACCGACCTCCACAGTCAAATGAGCAATAATGGTTCTCTGATGTCCCTCCAGTGTTTCTAGTGCAATATTGGAAATCTCAGCCTCAGACTTGCCCATAAACATTTGGCAGGCGGTGGCCAACATCTCCTTGTTCTGGCCCTGGATCTTCACCTGGAAAAAGACAGAAAAAGTGAAAGAAAATGACATTCAAGCGGCAACTTCCTTGCCCTTATTTGCTTACAGTAAATGACCTTCAAACTGATCTGATCTGAATATGAATGCTGTGGGTTTATATATATAGTATTGATGAGTGTTTTGCTCTGGCAAAAATATTTTGCTAGTGTTTATGTATTTCTTTTTAAATAATCACACATTATTTACTTGTACCCATCCCTTCAACCCATAAATCTTTCATGCATCTCTCAGTCTGTCTGTGCAACAACCTGTTTCTGTAGGCAGGCGTTGCTTTTAAATAGCCGCTGACCCCATTCCTTCCCTTTTGGTGTCTATACAAAAATTTTAATCTATTTTAATAACTGTTTGTGACAACATGCACAGCTTTTTGACTTCCTGTATTAAAAAACTTACGGTATTTGAGTCGTCCAATTATCAAAACATACCTGTGCAACGCCAGTGACAGAGACAGGAACACCAAGACAGGTGTAGACTTTGTCACTCTTCACATTTAGAGTCAGGATGTTGAGCGTAATTCTGAGAAGAAAATGGAATAATGTAAAAGGAAAAGTGGAATGGACTAGATATAATATAACAAAGAGCAAGAATGGAAAGGTATAGCAAAAGAGAGACAGACTTAGTGGCTCAGTAATGGATACAGAACTCAAAAGATATCAGGAACACATGTCTCTTTTATCAGCATGTATTTCCCGTGTTGGTTAAACAATACATAAATCAGGTAGATATGTTGTAACAAAAACTAGAGACTGAAAATGGGATCACCTCTGGATCTTCTGAATACACGGGAGGACAAACACACTTCCCCCAGCAATCATTAGAGGAGGAGTACGGTCATAGCCTAGGAGGAAAGAGATGAGAGGAGAACACATAACATAAACATTACACTATCATTCAGTTACATATGGCTAGGCACTCATAGAGTTACTGGCTAGAGGACATTGTTCAAAATGCAGGCCTGCATACAGGGTCGCTGGGGGGCTGGAGCCAATCCCAGGTTGCCAGTCCATCGCAGGGCCACACAGAGACGAACAACCACTCACGCTCACGCCTAAGGACAATTTAGGGTAACCAAACAACCTAGCCTGCATGTTTTTGGATGGTGGGAGGAAGCCGGAACAACCGGAGAGAACCCACGCAGACACGGGGAGAACATGCAAACTCCACACAGAAAGGCCGGGGTTTGAACCCCTGCACAAGATTGTCTTCGACCTCCACAGTCAAATGGGCAATAATGGTTGCCCATAATAATGATTGTCTCTTTTTAATACATGAATATTTTGACACAATACGTAGTACAGTGACCTCCGGAGGTTTGTAACAATATTACAGCATCGTGGAGGCTGGAGTGTTTTATAATTGTACAGGAAACGTTTTTTACATATCCAGTGCTATTGAGAGAAGTCAAGCAATTATCTTACCAGACACCACCATGGCTTCATTGGGTCCACATGTGTAAAACATCTTGATTCCTGAATTTAGACAAAAAATGAATGCAAGACCTTGTCAAAGGTTGGACATTACTATAGTTAGATAAGAAATAGACAACATTGTGTTTTCTTGGATATCACTGGGTTGTACAGGAATTGGTAATTATTGGATATATGAAACTAGAAAGCTGGATACCAAAGTAACATTTCAAAGTTTATTTCTCTTTTATAGTGAACATGTATGACTGTCCAGTGTATCCATAAACATAATCAAGCAGACTAATACACAGTCCATTGTTTAACCCCATTATAATATCAATTAAAAACATGACAGTATAAAACTAAAACTAAATTGTCTGTGGTTTGGGTGAACCATAAACTAAGACATAAAATTCACACATTTGGTCATATTTAAGCACCATGATCTCAAGAGTTTGTTATTGGATCGATGGATTGTTTGTATGACAGTGATATGAAAATCACAGGCTACAACTGACACATGTCTATGTCAATCATTCAAGCAAAACCCTTAATTAAGCTTTTCTATTTTCACAGTGAACCAGAATGCTCCTCCCCATCCTGACAACCCCCAACACAGGGCAGGAAGTTAACGTTACAACCTGTTATAACTTTTATACAGTCTATGGTTACAACTTGTAAATGTTTACTTGGACTTACAAACACCTAATGAACAATGCCTTTTCAAAAATTAGTTATAGCAACATAAACACATCAGATCAGAGCTCCAAGAATAACAGTATAACAGTATATTAAATGTAAAACCAAATAAATGTCAGCAACGATAGCTAGCTCGCATGCTAACGTTAGTTATCTGATAAAAGGCAGCGGAATCGGATCTGGGTTGATAATGTCACTATGTCTGAGGAAAACACTCCAGTATTTATACTAGGCTACAACTATTACTAACAGCAACTAACATCACAACTACAAGATGTAATGAACCAATCATTCCTTTCAATTTACCGATATCCATCAACAGAAAGAGCAATCCTGTTCAGAGTAAATGAAGGCTTGTTTTCTGTTACTACAGTCAGGCAGTAAGCCCTTTCCCGCCAACGGGTTTGAGGTGCACTGACCACGCCCATCCTCACTACAGTAATGGCGTCTGTCACCATCTGGTGGTCAATAGTTACAACTGCACCTCCACTGTTTTCATTACATTACATTACAGTAATTCATTTTAGCTGACGCTTTTATCCAAAGGGACTTACAGTTGCTCTACATGTCAGAGGTCGCACGCCTCTGGAGCAACTGGGGGTTAAGTGTCTTGCTCAGGGACACATTGGTAGATGGGTCACAGTGGGGAATTGAACCCCGGTCGGTCTGCCTGCCTGCCTGCCTGCCTGTCTGTCTGTCTATCTGCCTCTTATTAGGTACACCTGTACATGTATATGATGCCTACAATGTTTTTTTTGTTTTTTAGACACTATCACAGAGGTGTTACCCTTAATTTGGTTACATATTTTTGTACTGAGGTCAGATCATAGTTAGTGAGGTGTTACTACTCTTACGTATGTAAATCGGAAGTATTAAAAAATAAAATACAAACACCTCTCATACAACATAATGTAGTCCAGTAAAACTCCACCTGTAACTATGACCTCAGTAATAACCATATCATTAAATTATTACATTTCCAACAATGTCAACAAAAACTGAATGGAATAAACTTCGCAAAGGTAGAGTTTATGGTAGTGCTGTTTTATTGTATTGCATTAGATTGTACAGGTGCACATAATAAAGTGGCCACTAAGTGTATTTATTGTTGAGGGTGATAGATAGATAGATAGATAGATAGATATAGATAGATAGATAGATAGATAGATAGATAGATAGATAGATAGATAGATAGATAGATAGATAGATAGATAGATAGATAGATAGATAGATAGAAAGAAACAGTGCTCCTCTACATGATTCATTGTACTAGAATAATGTCTAAAGTAGATGCACATCAACATGTGTAATGTATTTGGATATGACAGTAATAATGTGCACAATTACAGTTAGAACTAGTGGTAAAAATATTCTGATAGTTGTACATCAGTCATTAATGTCCTCACTGTGGAAAATGCAAAGGTATAAAAAGCAACACCGAATTAAACATTATTTTTACATCTATTAGTAAAATAAATTCAGTTGAGTAAAATATATTTAGTTGGAGTCATTAAAACAAAATATCAGGAAATTTTAAACCTGACTAGACTATTTCATATAAAAAATCTTCCAGCAGCAGAGTTTAGTTCAGACTCTGTAATCCACTGTTAAATCTCTAATCGGTTTCTTTTATTAACATGGATGGTTTTGGTTTTGTCTGGTGAGATCTGGGATCAGGGGCCTGGCTCACCCATCCTATCTGCTCTGACCAGATGTCAACCATCAAGCCCTGGCTGTTTGCCACAGATGTGGGGGTTCATGGTGCATCAACCACCGATCCCCCCATTGTAGTGAAGAAGTCCAAGCAGTTTTTGACCCATCTCTCAGCCACAGAGAGAAGAACTTTATCCCTGGTGCCACATTGACTTTTCAAATCTGAGGAATAGAAGACAAAAGTCTGTGGCTGTCGATAAGATGTGACCCACAAACGGCATCAGCTTTTTACAAGCTGTGCTTTATGCCATGCATATCCCAGGCCATGATAAAACTCTTCTCTGTCAATGTGGATTCTAATTGCATTTTACTTGCAGTGAATGAAGATATTTGCCAAGGGAGATCAAAATTCAGGACAGTCAGTCTGCCTTTTTCAAAATCCTCTCCCAGAAGGCATTGCCAAACTATTAAAGATGTAAAATATTATTTAAAATTTATTGGAAAAACACCATCAAGTCATCTCATTTTAAATGTATGATGACATTTTGTTCTGAAACAGTGTGTTGAGTCATGTTCACTTGATAGCTCGGTCTTCACTCATCCAAATGCAAACAGTATGGTATGGTAAGTGGGAAAGCTGGGATTTTCACGTGTCAACATCAACCTCTGAATTACCCAGTATGCATTTTGGCTGACCGTGGTATGATCTACTTCACTGACTAAATAGCACTGTAAATCAGTAATAAGATTATCAAGTATTATATGTTTACTCATTTTGAATGTGCGTGCCATGTGAGGCACTTTTGACACTGTAGTTCAACTAAACCCATATTTAAATTTTTATTAAAATAGTTTAATAAACTGATACATTTTCTGTCAATCAATTAATCTATTGTGCTCCACGCAGTCTTAAGTGAAACTTTGATGGCAAAAAACAAACAGCAACATGACTCAGTGATTAAACTATATTTTATTGTCTATAGAACATTTCACTGCAGATAACTCTTAGAATATGTAACATTCGTATACAACTTCCACATTAAGTAACAACTACTTATGTCACATGCGACGACAATTGTTTCAGAAAAGTAAAAGACTAGACTGAATAAAATACAAAAGAAGCAGAGACTGATTTGGCTTTCATCTACAGCCTTTGCGGCCAATGGCTTAGTATCAGTTGCATATGAGGACATATTACCTGACAGAAATGTAATAGGCTTGACTAAAGAAGTAAACTTGACTTGAATGTCGAGTTTTGACCAGGCACTTGGGGGTAAAAAATGCATATGGCTTGGCAGTTGGAAAATGTGTTGGTTAAGAGTCTGAAAAAAGAAATCAGAGATACTGTTTTTCAAAACCTTTTATAACTACGAGAGCCTTCAAGACTGACTGCTAAGACTCAGCATCACATTATCATGGAAAATACATAAAAAAAATAAAATCATACTATCTCTTGTATGTCAGTTTAAGGCAGACTCCAGGCAGCAAGTATATCGAAGCAGCAGGCTGGTTAGTCCGTCAGTTAGTTTGTGAGGGTCCTTCTTTACTCTCGCCATTTAAATGCCAGGACTCAAGAAGAAACTGCAATAAAAAGTCAGCATTGATTGTCCCACCACAACATACTTTCATTTGACAGGAATCCCCTTCAGCTTCTTTCCCAAAAAAACACTTCCAGCCCTTTCATTCTGAAACCACAACTTCCACTTGCTATACACCTGACATGATTTTGGGCCCAGTAATATAGTCTCTTACTACAAACAAACATGTGGTATAAACTAGCCTCATCCCAACTTTGTCTCTATATAAAGGATGAGTGCACAAATATAGTCAATACTAGAACTACAGTGACAGTAACAATACAGCCACACAGAAAACTAAGAGGTGATGCTGTGATAAAGAGCGCAACACCATTTAATCAAGTGAAAGGCACAAAAACACGTTTAGATAAACTACAGCCGCAGACATTTTCTACATTAAAAAGTTTAAAAAAACATGAACAGTTTATGAAAATGAGGCTGATTGCGGTCAGATAAAAAAATTAAAAACAATGACAGGAATTCCTACTTGCACCATCAACAGCTAAATTGGACTGAGGCTTTTTGTCTCCTCCTGGCAAAAAAAAGTAGCTTTATGAATAACTGTATACCTTGCAGCTGCTTCTGCTGTCACCCACCGCAGTATGCACAACAACTCAGATCATGTTCATGAAAGGAAACCACATAAAGGAGGAAGAACAATTCTGTTTAGATGGAGGAGGAACCAACAAAACACATGCAGGCACACAAACAATCACACAGGACTACAGTGTGCAGTCATTACAGTGGCTATAGGCACAAGCAGGAGATGTGGAGCTCTGAGTCTGATCATTAGTGACACCTCTCCTGATTTCTTCTACTCTTCTTCTCTTCTTAATGCACACGCATGGTCTTTCCTGTAGCCTGCGAAGTCAATGAGAGAACCATTCAATTATTATTACCTGCACCAGTAGTTCAGTCTCATACATGATCTGTCACACACATACTCCAGCGTACCTGGGAGATGTCGATTCCAGTGAGTTTCTCCACAGTCATGGGCAGCCTGGTCATGATATCGAGCACCTCTCCAGCAAGTTTGGCTGCTCCCACCTCTGAGCCGCCACTGGACACCATGGTGACCTTCTGGACTTCCGACAGTGGCTTGCTGATCTCCTCTGCCATCTGCAGGACAAGACAGAATCGAGGAATAAATACAGTGAAGGGGAAATTTCAAAGCAGAAGCAAAACAACACTTAAGGAAATTTAAATCAACTCAACATAAAGGGCGTGATTGAATTTAGGAAAAAATGTGAATAAATTGACAAAGATGGGATTTATATGGAAACATGAACATTTTCTTGAACAGAACTTAGAGTCACACAACTTCACTGCAACAAGGAAAAGGAATAAAACTCAGAACAAACTAACTTTAACACAACTAATAAGAAATGTCCACTATGAAAAGGCAATTCTGTGATGCCAACAGCAAGTCCACTGAGAAATGAAAAACCAGAGGTGGCAAACTTTTGTTAAAGCAAAGCAGTACAAAGTGAAATAGTGATCCAAGGTTTGCAATAATCACAGTATTTCATTGTACAGCTCTAACATTTATCTTCATCTGTTCATTCATCCATTAGAGTCAGACTGACCAGGGGCAGTTTCTCCAGCAGCATGTCCACCATGGCTCCCTCTTTGTACTGCTTGAAGGCCTCTGCTTTCTTGGCCATCTGCTGCGCCTCGGCACGACCCTTAGCCTCCAGGGCAAAAGCCTCTGCCTCGCCCTTCATCTACATGGACACGTACATAAATTAAGATTACAATAGAAGTGTACGGGAGTAAATTTCCTGACAGAAATAATGTTTGGTAAATGTAATATTCTCAATTGGCAGACAGGGAAAAGTGGAAATCTGGATGGAGAATCTTAGAAAAGTACTCACTCTGATGGACTCGGCCTCGGCCTCAGCCTCCATGATAAGCTGCAGGCTGCCAGGAGTGACAAGAAATTGCAGATTGTTTAACTGTCTCAAGTGATTTGTGTCCTTGATACTGTTAAGGTGTTAGATGCACATCTCTTAAAAGTATGCTGTAATGCTCACCGATATGCCTCCGCCAGCCTCTCCAGCCTGTATTTCTCCGCCTCTGCAGGCTTCTTAACTTTTGCCTCCAGTTCCTTCTCCTTGCGGGTGATCTCCTGCTCCTGCAGTGTGATCTGCTGTGTCCGCTCCACCACCTGAACCTGCATCTTCTCCTCCTCAATGCGCTGCTTGGTCTTGGCCACCTGACAAGGGAAGCGGAGGAAAACAGAAATAACAAGGCATCAGCCTTCTATCACCAAATGGAAATCAGATATTATCTACAACCTGGATTGGTCGTGTTGGTACAAACTCGACCCGCCAGCCTAATAAAATGTGTGGACGAGGTGTATACAAGCTGAACAGACTGACCAGGACAGACTAAATTTCCACAAACACAAAGTTCACATTACACAAAACACAGCAAACGTGAAGACTGTACCTGAAGTTGATAGGCCATTTCTGACTCCGCCTTCTTGGTGTTGACCTCAACATCATAGGCTGCCTTTTTCAGCTCATAGTCTCTCTGGGATTTTGCCATCTCAATCTCATTCTTGTACTGAGCTGAAACTTTCTCCTGCATTGCGTGGGCCTCCTGTATGTAGAATGTAGCAGGACAGAGAAAACAAGAATGTTTGGTATTTCTTTTCTACTGATGGCTTATTCTCATTTTCAGATTATCCATATGAGTAAATAGGCAAAAACAAAATAGCTCATTTTACCTTCATGACAGCATCTCGTTTGTATTGAGCCTCTCCGATCCTGGCATCCCTCTGCACCTGGGCTGTTCTTGCTTTACCCAGGGAGTGAAGGTAGTCCTGCGAGAGAGCGACATAGAGAGAGAGCAAGGGAGGGAGTGCATTAGGCAAACAAAACCAAGAGATGGTGTGGTTACTACTGAAGCACTTAGACCTAATTCATCACTAAACTATGAAGTGGTTGAGTCAGAGACAGTGAGTCAATATCAATCACCTAAGTGCATTACTGTAGCAAAAAGAAAATCGAATGAGACTAAAAGCTTTTATATAAAAAAAAAGATACAGGCTCACAGTGACACTTCAGATTCCTGTTAGTGTTTTTTAGTGTTTGCCGTCGTGTTTTAAGCATCAGATTTTTGTCACTAGCACTGGCTGAAAATGAACCTAAACAGACACTGGGCCCTATTTTAACAATCTAAGCGCACAGCATGAAACACATGTCGTTTTTAGGGCATGTCCAAATCCATTATTGCTAGGTGATTTTTTTTTATTGTTTGTTGTTTTGATGTATGAGTTTTTACTTTAATGATAAGCGAGGCTGCTGTCAGTGCATCCCGATAATAATAATAATCAGGGATGTTATGCTGCTGTACCTCGTGCATAAATGCGCACAGCGTCTTTCTTAATGGGAGACGATTCACCCTATTTCACCCATCTGCAACCCACCCACTCAGAACGTTCATTTTTATAACCAGACTCAATCAATCCACTAATATAGTTGCAATCTGCACATCACTAGAACCGACCTATGCAGGCGCATCTTACTGTCTGAATAATGCGCCCTTTAAATAGCAGTGATAAACTGCGCCATTGACTTTAGACCAGGTTTTCGTTGATCAATGACACAATCGCTTTCTGCTGCCTCAAGAAAGCCATGTGTCAACAATGTGCCTGACCAAACCTCATCTTAAGACCAACACTCCCATTGGCGCACAGATGAGCGCAAGTACTACTTACACAACATGGAGCATCACCGTGAAAATTACAACTTTGTCGGTTGGAAATAGGGCAATAAAACAATAACAATAATTATTGCAATATAATTTTTTCAATAACAATATAACAAATGTTCAATAAATGTTTGATTTTATTCACTTGAATCATACACAAATTAGGACTTAATTTTTTATTAAGATGGTTATTTTGTTGAGGAAAAAGGACTGAAAAAAGCTTTTACTTAGTTTTACTCATGCATATGTGTTGAAAAAGATTTTATCATAATTGTTTTGAATGTTCTACCTCAGATTTGTGAAGTGATCCACTGTTTGGCATGAAGTGTTGAGCATAAAGATGAGTTTAAACCACAGTTAACCATCAGGTTTCTTCAACATTCCCTCAGTAGCAAAAATCAGCCTTTAAACTCAAAAGAAATAAAGATCTGATACTTATCGCGATAATTATCAATATGGAAAGATATGAAACTTTTTATCGTGATAACATTTTTGGCCATATCGTCCAGCCTTAGTTGGAAACTAGAAATAACACTTTTGCTGCACTGTGTGCCACTTTGCGCCAGGTGTTAGAGAGGCCCCATAAAGTACCTGATCATCATGAACATCTTTGAGCGTATAGCTGACGACGCCAATCCCCATGTTGACCAGGTCAGAGGAGGCCACCTTAAAGACCTGCTCGGAGAACTTCATACGGTCCTGGTAGATCTCCTGTACGCAGAGAAGAGATATATACATCATAGTTATTACATACTGTTTATGAGAAGAAAATGTCAAGCAGATCCATTTAACGAAGTCAGTACACCGACCTCCACAGTCAAATGAGCAATAATGGCCCTCTGATGTCCCTCCAGAGTTTCTAGTGCAATATTGGAAATCTCAGCCTCCGACTTGCCCATAAACATTTGGCAGGCGGTGGCCAACATCTCCTTGTTCTGGCCCTGGATCTTCACCTGGAAAAAGACAGAAAAAGTGAAAGAAAATGACATTCAAGCGGCAACTTCCTTGCCCTTATTTTGCTTACAGTAAATGAATATTTAAGCTGAACTGAATATGAATGCTATAAGTTTAAATATATAGTTTTGATGAGTGTTTTGATCTGGAAAAATATATTGCTGGTGTTTCTGTATTTTGAAAATAATCACCCATTATCTACTTACCCATCCCTCAACCCATAAATCTTTCATTCATCTGTCAGTGCCTGTATGTGCAACAACCTGTTTCTGTAGGCAGGCGTTGCTTTTAAATAGCAGCTGACCCTCTTCCTTGCTTTTTGGTGTCCATACAAAATTTTTTAAATCAAGCTTTTTCACTCCATTTCATAAATACTTATGGTCTTTCAGTCATCCAATTCTCAAAGCATACCTGTGCAATGCCAGTTACAGAGACCGGGACACCTCGACGGGTGTAGACTTTGTCACTCTTCACATTTAGAGTCAGGGTGTTAAGTGTGATTCTGAGAAGAAAGGGTATAAAATATAAGGAATGGTGGAATTGATGAGACATAATATAACAAAGACCAAGAATGAAAAGGCAAAGCAAAAAGGAAGTAGAGGAAAATATATCAAGTATCAGCTACAAAGGGGACTCCTCCATGCTGCTAATGACAAGTTTCTTAGTAATGGATACAGAACTCAAAAGATATCAGGAACACATGTCTCTTATCAACATTATTTATTATCAACATGTATTTCCTGTGTTTGTTGACCAGTACATAAAATCAGGCAGCTATGTTGTACTTAGAATAGAAAACTAGAGAATGGGATCACCTCTGGATCTTTTGAATACACGGGAGGACAAACACTCTTCCTCCAGCAATCATTAGAGGAGGAGAACGGCCAAAGCCTAGGAGGAAAGAGAGGAGAGGAGAACACATAACATAAACATTACACTATCATTCAGTTACAAATAGCTAGGCACTCATAGAGTCACTAGCTCAAGCACATTGTTCAAATCCTGTTTATTCTCGACAGTTTGAGCCTACATACTACAGCAAGCTTGAAAATGTTTTGTTTACTCCAAAGTGTTGTTCAATACAAGTTATCACAAGACATGCGATGATGAAATCACTCACATGACACAAGTTTTCTGGTCTGCTGTGCACAAGATTGTTCTCCTTTTATTACAGGGTTAGACTGACACAAAACGTAGTACAGTGACCTCCTGAAAGTTTGTAATCATATTACAGCATCACGGAGTCTGGAGTGTTTGATTATCCAACAGGAAATGTCTTCTACATATCCAGAGCTTTTGAGAGAACTAATCAAGAGAAATCAAGCAATAATCTTACCAGACACCACCATGGCTTCATTGGGTCCACATGTGTAAAACATCTTGATTCCTGATTTCAGGCAAAAAATTTATGTAAGACCTTGTCAAAGGTTGGACATTGGTATAGATAAGAAATGGACAGCATCATGTTATCTTGGATATCACTGGGGTACATTAGGGTTGTAAAGGAATTGGTAAAATCGTAAAATATATTAGATATATGAACCTAGAAAGCTAGATCCTAAAGTATAACGTTTATTTCTGTTATGTACCACTGTCCAATGTATCCACAAACATTATCAAGCAGACAAATACACAGCCCAGGTTTTTAACCCCATACACATAAATTAAAACCATTCTTCTGTGTTTCATGTCAACCATAAAATAAGACATTCACACGTGTTCATATTTAAGTACCATGATCTCATCAGTTTGTTATTGGATCGATGGATTGTTTGTGTGTTAAGAGTAACGTTATGATGACAACTGACACATGTCTATGTCAATCATTCAAGCAAAACCCTTAATTATGCTTCTATATTTTCACAATGAACCAGAATGCTCCTCCCCATCCTGACAACCCCCAACACAGGGCAGTCAGGTCGGTATGACTACAACTCATTCCCCTTACGCAAAAACCTAACGAGCATTGCGTTGTCATATATTATTAATAGTCAGAGCAACATAAACACATCGAAGCTCCAAGAATAACGTCAGGCATACAGTATATTAAACGTAAAACCAAATAAATGTCCGCAAAGATAGCTAGCTCGCATGCTAACGTTAGTAATCTGATGAAAGGCAGCGGATTCGGATCTGGGTTGATAACGCGTGTAATGTCACTGCGGAAAACACTGTTTGTACAACAGCTATTACTTACAACTACACGATGTAACAAATCGACCTTGCCATTCCGTTTAACTTACCAATTTCCGGTCGATACAAAAAGCAATCCTTATTAGAGTAAATCGAGGTTGGTTGTCTGTTGCCACAGTCACGTAGTGAGCTGTTTCCCGTCAACCGGAATGACAAAAATGTCTGTTTGGTCCGGGTGCACTGACCACGCCCATCCTCACTACAATGATGACGTCTGTCTGCCACCATCTGGAGGTCAATAGTTACAACTGCACCTCCAATATTGTCCAAATCTATCTATCTATCTATCTATCTGCCTTTTATTAGGTACACTTGTACATGTATATGATGCCTACAATGTTTTTTTGACACTATCACAGAGGTGGTACCGGTAATTCGGTGACATATTTTTGTACTGAGGTCAGATCATAGTTAGTGAGGTGTTACTATTCTGCCCTCTTACGTATGTAAATTGGAAGTATTAAAAAAATAAAGTAAAAACACCTCATACAACATAATGTAACCCAGTAAAACTCCACCTGTAACTATGACCTCAGTAATAACCATATCATTATATATTTCACATTTCCAACAATGTCAACAAAAACTGAACGATCTATGATGTTTATAATGTTTTTGACACTATCATAGGCATCGCTATGACTATTTCACATAGCCTAAATAACATTTTTCTAGTAGCAGTTTAGTTCATACTCATACATAATCCAATGTTAAATCTCTAATCTGATCATTATGTTGATATGGATGGTTTTGGATTCGCTGCAGCGTTTCCTCACTGTCTGATGAGAGCTGGGATCAGGGGCTTGCTCACCCATCCTATCACCACTGATCAGATGTCAAGCCCTGGCTCTTTGCCACAGGTGTGGGGGTTATTGGGGCACAGTTTTTTCATACTCCTTTTTGTCCAGGTCTTTGAGTCAGAGATGAATGAAGTTATTTCCCAAGGCCTCTTCCATCACTTTTGACGGCTTTGTTAGTGATTATCTGACTGGTATCAGCAGGTTGTATTCTGAACTTGAATATTTTGTTTTATCTTAGGTTTACCTTCAAAGAGCTTCAGCATACATTTGCTGATCAGGGAGGTGTAGACTAGCTAACTGGCATCAGTAATGATCCAACTCTTTTGGTATGGCATTGTTTCTGGGAGGCCTGGAGCAATAAAGGGTATTATGTAGCTTAATACCTGCATAGGCCTACAACAGACTTTATTATAAGGCTGTGTCAGCTCACTTTTTCTGGGAAAATCACACACAAACATAGGCAAATCCCAAAACCCCCAAATGTAATAACATACAGAACAGGAACTTGTGGTGAGGTTGTTTTCTTATTTGATGTTACCAAGCTAAACACACACACACACACACACACACACACACACACACACACACACACACACACACACAAAGTTGCTCAAAACAAAATAAAATTATATGTGAATATATTTCCAGTGATTTTACTTCATTGTCAGATTTCTCTGAAATGTGTCTTGCATCACTTGACAGCCATTCAGACAACCTGAGTCCGCCACTGATCACATCAGACATTAAGATTAAGCAGCTGCAGTGCAAACTGTTTAATCTCTTACACAAGTACATGGGATGAGACAAGAAAAATGGACTGGTTGGTTGCACTGTTCCAGAGCCCAGTGTAACATGACTACTGGCCTACTGAGACCTCAAACTCTTATTTAAGAGTTTGACAGAGTGAGGGAAAAAATAGTTTTTTTAAACTACTAACTAAAAGGACCTTAAGCGAGACAGCTTTTAAAAACCCAGTTGTTTCCACACATCTGCGCCCCCTCTCCAGCAGAGAAGAGCTTGAGATGACTGACTTAATCTTGTCCCACCCTTGAGATGAAACTGAAATTCCTGCCATCTGTCTACTCTGCAGGGAGTTTTACAGCCAGGAGAGTGATTTAAAACTGCCTCTTGGTTATTCGCTTCTGATATCTGAAAAAACCCCCACCCTTTAATACATCTTCCTTGGTGTTTCTGGACACCAGCTGGCAGAATTTGGTCAATCTCTTTATCTGGTTTCCACTCCCTGATCTGCAGCAGCGCCCCACCTCATCCCGGTATTGGGTCTTTCTTCTCAGCCAATCCTCGCGCGCAGCAGCTGGGTCGGGGTCTAGCCACGCCCGTTCCCCGGCCCCAGCCTCGTTCTGGATACGCTCCAACATTATAAATGCATTGTCCGACTCTCTTACACAAGTCTGCGGTCGGCGCATTGTGCCTGTCGAGTAAAACTCTTCTTCTCGTCGTTTTAAAACTTCAGCATCTACAATGAGGGAAATCGTGCACATCCAGGCCGGCCAGTGCGGTAACCAGATCGGTGCTAAGGTAGGAAAATCTAGGCTAATTATAGAGAAATCCTTTATTTCTTTATAAATAACGTTTTCCTCATACTATGGAAAAGCCTTAGGCTCATTATGCAGGACAAAACCTACCCCTAGAGCTAAATTCCATAAGTCTTGATTTAGCTGATTGTTGTGTAGCCTATGTACGAAGACAAAGGAATCCTTTTGTCTCGTTGTGCAAAAAGAACATATCCCTTTTATACATATTATAACTTTGTGTATTTAAACACACCATTAAATCAAAAAATGTCACTCATACACATAGTAAAAGACCACCTTTGACATTTATTTTAAAGCTTTTCTGTCTGAATCTTGTGCACTGCGGTAACGGGTGGGTGTGGAGCATCGGACCCTGCTTGCTCTCACTGAAATAACGGTATAACGGGGTTCTTGTGTGTCGACAGGTTCTTTTTTTTTTTTTTTACACACACATTTACGTCTGCGTCTCAACCCTGAGAATTCTACTGACCTCAAGATATTGTCTGGGGGAAAGAAAGAAAAAAAGAAAATCAGTCTATTCTTCACTTGTCAGAGCCCTTCAGTCAGTGTATTCCGCACTCCTCTGGGTTCTTTGTCTTGCAGATATGGCTGGCATTTCAGACAATGAGTGGGAGCTGGGGGTGGGAGTCCTAGTCCCCCCCCCCCCCCCCCCAAAAAATACAGATCAATAGCCCATATTGGTTAGATTTTATTTCTGCAGGCTATAGATGCAGACTGCTGTTTAAGCTGCCAAGAAAGCAAGGGAGCTGTGGAAAGGGTGTGGCATGGATAATTGGTGAAGAAAGAAATTCTCCTTTTAAAAAGAGTGATTACCATATTCACTGCTTTTAACAATGAAATACTGAAATACTCATATGCTTGACTTTGTCCGTTTATTGAGAATTTTAATGCATTTGACACTATAGTCTTGGCCCTGCAGTCTGCTTCACAAATACAACGCATCAATACATCACCCACCCAATTTTACTGTGACAATTTCAGTCTGCTGCAGTAGGCTACATGTCTTCTGAGCCTTTTATTACCTCAGTCTTATTACCTCCTCTTTTTTTATACAACTGATCATTAGTTACAGACAGTATATGTATAACTGGGACCTCTCGAACACACATACACACAGGAATCTTGCCCTGGTAATCAAATGAATCTTGGAGACCACATTAACAATGGCCCATATATTATAGGATACATCATTGTCATAGTGATGCTCTGCTGAAAGAGGTTTTAATGTCTAGTAAAGCAGGCCCTGTCTTTGTGATCAATGTCTTTCCCCCTCCTAACAGAATTAGGGGTAGGGTGGGGGAAGGAATGGAGGAAACAGCTGATGACCAGTGGGTGAAGTCACTGGGTTCTCTATTGACTTCATATGCAATTTCTGCCATTGTCTTGGAAGAAGAGCTATAAGAAATATATAATTATTTTATAATTATATAATAATGTTATTATTTTTATTTTATATGTAGCCCATACATACAATTTTTATAGCATTTTCACCACCCGAACGCCAACTGCTGTAAATACTGCATACATAAAAGTTTGTTCAATTTAAAAAGGTGAATGCCGTAAATTTATATCCATCTCCCTTTTAAAGCATGGAGTTTAATTTGTGTCTGTGTGTTTGCCCAGTAGGGGTTTAAAATAACTACTGGTGGTGTGGCAGTGAGGATCTCCATTTGTTTCCATTCCCCCAGGACTCATTGACTCAGATGTCCAGTGGATGTGATTGACAGATATGCCGAAGGGCTACATTGTGGTGAATTGGGTCAGGGTGTGGCATTGCTTCCCTGCTTATTGTCCTCATTCTTTCACTATGATTATTTTAGTCTTTACTGATAGCCATCTATCGCGCTATTGTGTCGCTGTCAAATATCTGTCAATTTATGTCTTTTGGTCGTTCTTATTCGTCCCTTTGTTCTTCTCTTAATCCTTCTGCAATCTCCCTGATATTAAGGTCACTTGGTCATTTTTGTTTTACATGGTCTTTTTTAAATATCATGATAGCAGCTGACTCTCAATCTTTTAAGTACTGAGCTGCAATACAGCCTGCTTATCCAGATTACTCTAAATCCTCCTATTGCTGCTGTTAAGAGAAAATCTCAGGCTTCTTGATTTAAAAAAAAGCATGAGTTGCAAGATATTGTGTGCATGCAAAAGACTGCCTGTATGCAACAGTAACACCCACTTATGGATGTGTTCATTCATGTTCCACTTATGGAACATGAATATAGATCTGAAGACAATCAGCGTCTTCAGTGTAGTGTGGCCTGCAAATGGAGTTTATTCTCAGTTTTGTCCGTGGAGTGATCAGTAGCCCCTTTGTGCTCCCTCCCTTGAATCTAAAAGAACTGCATTCTGCTAAATCATCAGTCACTGACTGGAAACATTAACAGCTGCATTATATTAAATGGGTTAAGATATGGCTTGGGGAAAGGGGAAAATTCATTTCATCAGAAAAAAAAAATGCAAACCCACTGCTGTTTTCCTCATTTAAGGTCTCCAGTCCCATAAACTGCTGATGGGTAGATGTGTACTTTCTTTTCAAGTAGCTGTCATGTGATACCTTTCTTTTTGTGTCTGCAGTTCTGGGAAGTGATCAGCGATGAGCACGGCATCGATCCCACAGGAACTTACCATGGAGACAGTGACCTGCAGCTGGACAGGATCAGTGTCTACTATAATGAGGCCACAGGTTAGCTGCCTTCCTACTAACTGATCTTTACATAGATAAAGGGTATATTATGTGACCATATGTTCAGCTTGGCCATTTAATTCTGAAATATAACTTAAGACATGTTACTTTCTCCTGTCATGCATGGATTTTCTCACATTATATGTCCTGTGTAACATTCCAGACTGTGGGTTCAGGCGTTACTGAGTTGGTATGTTTTCTCTCTTCTTCTT